CGAAGGACCTGGATGATGGTATGTACAGAAATCACTTTAGTTTCCTCCTCTAAAGATAGGGCTGGTTTCCCTAAGTGCCATTTAGAGGCCTTGTAATCCCTGTAGCTTAGTAGTATTTTTTTTTTCTATTTTATTTTTAAATAAATGTGAGTTTGTAATAGGTGTACATAGCTTAGTAATATTTGTGGTGTTTTTTCTGAGAAAGCCAAAATGTCAGTGGCACATTCCTGCCTCTCTTAACTTTTTATGTTCTCAGCTTTATCTTATATGTACCAGTTTTCTTGGCAGGATTTTTGTTACTGTTACTGACTTGAAAATTTATTTTATCCATCGTAACCAAAGCTCTTGTGAACTTTGATTTTTCAGATAAGTTTTTTCATTCAGCCATGAGAGTAGTAAGTATCATTTCTCTCTTAATTCTCTATCCATTTCCTAAATTTACCTGTAATTGGAGGGTTCTCCTGGTTCTTTTCACTTTCTACCTCTTACTTCTGTTCATGTCTTTGCTTCTGGTTTTCTTCTTTTTCTAAAATCTCTCTCTATATTTTGAGATGGAGGTTTGCTGTGTCACCCAGGCTAGAGTGCAGTGGCTCACCACAACCTCTGTCTCCTGGGTTCAGGCGATTCTTTGGCCTCAGCCTCCCGAGTAGCTGGGACTACAGGTGTGTGCCACCACAGCTGGCTAATTTTTGTATTTTTTTGGTAGACATGGAGTTTCATCATGTTGGTCAGGCTGGTCTTGAACTCCTGACCACCTCCCAAAGTGCTGGGATTACAGGCATAAGCCACCGCACCTGCCCTAAAATCAGTACTTTTCAATCACGTAGTATCCCTACCCTGTGTTTATTGTTGACTTTGACATTTTTTCATACTCCTGAACAGATAAGCTTCCATAGTATTTCAGATTTGCCTATTAGTAAGTTAAATTGATAATGGTTTTTATTTTGGTTTATTTAATCATGCTTATAATAGGAAAGATTTCGATCAGTTTTAGAATGAGCCCTGTTCCCTAAGGGTAATTTAATTGCTTTACTATTAGGTTGGTACAAGCGTAATTGCAGCTTTTGCCATTACTGTCAATGGTAAAAACCGCAATTACTTTTGCACCAACCTAATATGTCGTGTGGATCCTCCTAAGGTTTTTACTCTGGGTACTCAAGCATATGTACATCCAGCCATACTTTCAGAGTGTTTTATTTATTGACTGCAATCGATATTTCTTAGGAAGAAAGAAGTATAACTTAACTTTTCTATGGGTAGACTGTGGAGTTCTTTCATGGAGGTTTTTACCGGTCCAGACCGTACTGCAGGAGTCTTTTGTGCACTTGACCGGATGTTTTTATAGGATTAATTTCTAAAGGTATAATTGCTAAATCAAAATAATACTGTAATAAATTTCACAGACCTTGGGATTTGTCTCCCCCACCCCATTTCTTATAACTTATTTGCCATCAACCAATAATATGTTGAATCAACATTAAGTATTTTCACAAGACGCTCTACTGTTTTTCTTCATTTAATAAACCACTGGCTGATAGGATATCAGAGTGATACTTACTACTTGCAAATTTTCAGTCCTCATCTCTCAGAGATCTAGAACTTGCCTACCAAATACATGGCCTTTTAAATACCGGAGACAACCGGAAATTCATTGGACCTGATCGTTGGCGTAATTTCTATTAGTAAGTGTGCTGGAAATGTATCCTTTTGCATGAGTTACTAGATTCTGCAAGTGGGAGGCTATTGATGTTCCTTCATACCTCGCCTCTGGTTTCAGGCAGTATGCCAGTGATCTAATGGGACAGGTTAATTGAGCCCTTAGGAATTAAAGCAGTGGTAAAACTGTCAGATTTGGAAGTCTAGTTTGTGTCCTTTGAGGTTTTTGTTTTTTTGGCAACACTTTAAAACCCACATATCTTTTTCCTCTACCAGCTCTCATTTTACATTTTCAAATTGTTACAGCAGGGTGAACCCTGAAGATTTCCTCTCACCCCCTCCTTGCTTTTGTATTCAAAATCAAGAGGAACCCAGAGATACTCCCTAAATGGATTTACTTTTAGGCAGATAAGAATATGAATTTAAGAAGGCAGCCTGTTAATAGGTGTCTAAGGATTGTTTTCTGTGTATCTCAATTCTTGTTTCACATTGAATGTTTTAAAAATGAATTTGAAATTCAGCATCTATTCACCATGACCTAAGAGTATACAGAGGAAGCAGTTAGAGATGACCAGTTGAGGGTAAGAAGGTGTTTAATTGGGAAATGGAGCACATACCGGCAGGTCTTAAACCAAGTATTGACTCATTAACTTGAAATTGTAAATATTTTGAAATTCTTTGTAATATATGCTGTAATTTTACTCATTATTTCCCCTGTTGTTAGACATAGAGATTTTAGACTAAACATATTTTGCTCTTCATCACAGTTCCAGGTTCTTCAGTTTGATTTGTCTAATGGAACAAATTGATGTCACCTTGAAGTGGTATGAGGACCTGATACCTTCAGTAAGATGGGTCATTACTTGTTATTTATCATTGTAGATGAATTTGTGGGTTTCCGCAGATTAATGCTTTAAAAATGTGTTTCTCTTAATCAGGCCTTCTTTCCCCACTCCCAAACATTGATAGATCTTCTCCAAGCATTGGATGTAGCCAATCGGCTGGAAGTGATTCCTCAAATTTGGAAAGGTTAGTTTCACTTTCGATGTGTCCAGGCACATATCACCTCAGTGTCCTCTATTTTGATTAATGAATGTGCTCACATTACCGTTAGGGATGAAAACTTCCATTCTGAACTGAGTGTGTTAGTTGAGGTCTAAGGTCACATGCTCATGTTGCATGTTGGCTATCAGGAGAAAACTGTGTTGAAAATGACTTAAGTCAGTCCCTTCATGACATAGGAATGAGCTGAGTCTTGTGCACTGGTTGTGTGACATGACCCAAAGGAAGTAAGTACTAATGACACGGCAGAACCTAAATATGAATGAAGGTCTTTGACCCAAAAGTCTGTGCAGTTCCTCTGTGCCAGTGTTGCATCACTTTGCTAACCACAGTCATTGATGATCATGTTTCCAGTAACCATGACCATCATGGGTGTGTGTGCTGCTCTGTCTCATGTGTATAAATTGGCTGCAAAATGAAATACTCTATATCTTCCATTAGGTGACAAGTCAGGAGGCTCTAGTCCTGCCCTCCTGCTTCACAAGACTGCTCTAATGAGTAATAAAAGTACATCAAAAATTCCCAAGTGCTATAAAACAGCAACTTACCACATGGAGCTGGTGGCCGCTCCCATGTAGTGCACGTGCTGTGATAAATAACCTCACTGGAACAAGGCCTAGGCATTGGCTTTTACGTTTATTCTACTGTGAATCCTGCTGGGTTTCTGGAATCCTGGGAAAGCCTAGAATAAAAGCAGCTTGGCCAGGTGCAGTGGCTCACACCAGTATTCCCAACATTTTGGGAGACCAAGGCAGGTAGATCATGAGGTCAGGAGTTCAAGACCAGTTTGGCCAACATAGTGAAACCCCGTTTTCTACTAAAAATACAAAAAGTTAGCTGAGTGTGGTGGTGTGTGCCAATAATCCCAGTCACTCAGGAGGCTGAGGCAGGAGAATCACGTGAACCTGGAAGGCAGAGGTTGCAGTGAGCTGAGATTGTGCCATTGTACTCCAGCCCAAAGGACAGTGCAAGACTCCGTCACAAAAAAAAAAAAAAAAAAAAGTTAACAGTAAACAAGAGAGTGTTGGTTTTACATAACAATGATTAATCCTTGTTTCTTTCTTGTTTCAAGATAGTAAAGAATATGGTCACACTTTCCGCAATGACCTGAGAGAAGAGATCCTGATACTCATGGCAAGAGATAAGCACCCACCAGAGGTAGGCCTGAAACTCACCAGCCGGTATATCCTCCCATAATGAGATCTTTTAAAGACTAGCTTCCCTGGTTTCATCTGCCATTTTGGAGAGTTTGCCACCCAAACCCATATTTGAGTGATGATACATCTAAACAAGTCTTGCCCTTTGCAGAATACTGTTCTTAAAGTTAACCTCTTTACTATAGTCCAAAGCAAGCAACGTGAAATTAAGTTTTGTCTTCAGCTTGCTTTTTAAAAATATTCCATCTACAGAGGAAATGCATAGCTGAATTTGAAAGGTGTGGCTAATCAAAATATTTATTCAGGACAACAGGGTCCTTTTTTATTAAATTACTTGTGTGCTATACACATAACATATTCAAATGGTAAAATGCATTGCTCAAATTTTAAGGGTTCTGTGGTAGTCTCCTGAACTGAAATCCTCATAAAATCAATTAGGCAGTTCTCCTGACTCCTAAAGCTTCTTAGCTTCAGGTAGCTTTTGCTGACTGTGCCGCTGATATCAAATCTACATATGAAAGCCAACCTGTCAGACAGACTGCTCTGGATTGGCCAGCCGTCTCTCTCAACTGTATAGCTGTCCTCTTTTTAAGGGCTGGGAGAACCCAGGAAGCCTGGTGAGTACAGTACCACAGGTATACACTTTGAAGCATTTGTATTTGGCTCTAAACATTGACCCACGCTGGTAGAGGTTCTCTCATTTGGCCGTATAACATGTATTTGATGGGAACATGCAAATACCAACCAAAAAGTAAACTTTTGCTTGCAATGTGCATGATGTATTTGAGAGAAGGCCTGGTTTTCTCAAACCATAGGCTGAGAATTATCTTTCCCTTTCTGCTTTCTGTGTCTATGGACAGGTAAGTCCCTTAATCTCATCACTCCACTTAAATGGACCAAAGATCAAAGAAACGTAGTTTTGAAAGTGTTCTGGTCATTTGGGTTGTGGAAGTATTTTCAGATGCTTCTGCCATCCCACTCTCCAACTTAAAATGTGGGCTGCGTACTTAGACTTCTGGAAGCTGGCATTATGCACATTAACTAGGCCTTGACCACAACCCATTCTTGGTTGGTGCCACTGTTCTGGTTATGTTTTATCAGCACTTCATTCAGCCTTAATATGGCCAGGCTGTGATGATTGGCGCAGGGGTATGGACCTCAGCTGATTCATGGGAACTGAGTGTATGTGTTTCTCCTTTGTCCTGCATGTGGCAGGCTGATGGGGAGTCATGAGTGGGGGTGCTTGTGCATGGCTCCTTGTATAAGAAAGTAACTTTATTTGAACATCTGATTGTCAGCTATCTCCAGGAAAAGATAATGAAGGCTTGTCTTTGAGGTATGGCTCATACACATGCCTCTCTAGCAACTATGCTGCTAGTGACAGACATTTGACGTTTGCATTTGGTTGTTAGCTCAGGCAGTTTCTCACACAAACTGCCTTAATATGGCCAGGCTGTGATGATTGGCGCAGGGGTACGGACCTCAGCTGATTCATGGGAGCTGAGTGTATGTGTTTCTCCTTTGTCCTGCATGTGGCAGGCTGATGGGGAGCACTTACATGAGACTGTTGCCTCAATCTGAGCCTGCTCTTCATAACAGAATTCTAAGACAGACAACCTGTGCAGCATTTTAAGAGAGGGAAACAGTGTGGTTCTGTTCCATGCCTCTTTTCCAGCTGTGCACAGGATGAATTATTCTACAAGAAGACAAATACAGTTTGAGTATCCCTTTTCCAAAATGCTTGAGACCAGAAATGTATGGGATTTTTAGATTTTGGAGCATTTTTGGATTAGGTATATTCAATCTATATCAGCAAATCTCAACATTGGCAGTGTATATCAGGTTTATCTGCGAAAATTGCAGTGTCGATATATGTCGTTTGGGGAGTTGAAGCACCTGAGGTGATTCTCATGTACAGACAGGGTTGGGAGCTAGTAGAGCCCACAGATGTGCGTCTTCGGGAGCTTACAGTACAGTTAAGAAAAAGACATTTAGTCTCTAAGTTCAGAGGGAAGACAGCTATAGTCATCTGATTGCCTTTTCTAACAGTATTCATAATCTTTCTCCTATCTTGAGCAGGAAAGTGTTGGGGCTTTTCAGGAAGCACAATAAGATCCCTAGGTAAGTTGAAATTAACTTTTCCTCCTTGGGTACAGCCTGGAAGTAGTCACACTTGGAATTTCTTCACCAGCCTTAGCCACCACATTTGGGCACTCTTTTATCAGGCAAGCATGCCATCAACTCCCCACCATCCTAGGCATCCTGAGGCCAGCAGTTTCTGTATCTGTGCTCTTGGATCACAGTACGCTGGGGCTAGATTGAATAGATCATCATGAAGTCATATTGAATGAATGTTGATAATCCCTGTCCCTTTAGAGTTAGACTTAACCCCACTGGAAACAAATAAAAATAAATGTTAGACTTTATGTAATCGTCACTATGGAGGTACTTACTATTGGGAATTCTGTTACTGAACTTACATTGGATCTTACCTATAAGTGTTTTACCGAAGGGGTTGGAGAAAGTTCACACTTTGCCTTTCTTTTACAGTAATGAGTTGCTGAATGAGTTTATGGACAGTGCCAAAGTGTCTAACAGCCCTTCCCAGGCCATTGAGGTGGTAGAGCTGGCAAGTGCCTTCAGCTTACCTATTTGTGAGGGCCTCACCCAGAGAGTAATGACTGACTTTGCCATCAACCAGGAACAAAAGTAAGTGGGTCCTGTATCTTCACCATGAAGGAAAGTTTGTAAAATGGAGCAGACCTTTTATCCATCTGCCCATTCAAAATGTTCATAGCTTACTATCCCGTATTTCCTTGCAAAAAGCCAGTGTATTAATTTAATGATTTCATTTGTTATGCAAGTCAGGAAAGCCTATAGATTTGACTGTTAGAAACCTTTTTGTTCCTAATACAGGGTCCCTTTTTCTGATTTCAAAACTGATAGGCTACAGGTGAGTATCAGAGACACCAGAAACCCCAGCACCCAACTGAATTACAGTGTGATTCTCTGGTTTCTTTTCTTAACAGGGGAGCCCTAGGCAAGCTAACTGCATTCACCAGTAACAATGATACTGACAGCAGCAGTGACAGTGACAGCGACAGTGGCACCAGTGAAGGCAAATGAAAGTGGAGATTTAGGAGCAACAATGGCCTCACCGTAGCTACTGGAATTGCACCTGAGAACTGAGATATGTTAATATTTAACATTATTACAAAGAAGACAAGATAGAGATTTGGTGAATTTGTTCCTGTGAGGTACAGTCAGTACACGGCTGACTTATTTGCTACGTAATAACCATTTATTAATGTACCGTGCATTAAAGGTTTAGCATTTAAGTAGCAACATTGTCATTTTCAGACACATGGTGAGGTTCACAGCTCTTGTCATCAGGATAAGCCTGCACACCTACGGTGTCCGTGAGCTGACCTCACGCTTCCATCCTCGTGCGATTGCCCCTCCCTGCTGCTGGGCTTCTGCCTTTCTTGGCCTGATATGATGCTGGTTCTTCATCTTAGAAAGGTGTTCATGCAGTTACATCACAGTTGGTGTTGGGTCAATAATTTCCCAATTTCAGGATATTTTGATGTTAGAAATAATGCATCTTAGGAATGACTAAACAGGACAATGGCGGTTTAGGCTGCACAACTGGTAAAATGACTGTAAATAAATGTTGTAATTAATGTACATGTTTGCATTTCTGTTAATATAGCCGTTGCCATAGTTTTCTAACTTGAACATCCAGAATGTGTCATGTCTCCCTCTTTTTCGTCTATAGCTGGTAGCTACTTTAGTGTTCGAAATGAGAGCTAGTGATGACAAAAGGATGTGGAATGTCTTCTTGACATCATTGTGTATTGTTGGTAATCAAGCTGGTAACTACTGCTAGCAGCTCTTACCACTATGACTTAAATGGTCCTGGAAGGCAGTAACTGGAGGTATGCAGCATTCCTGCCTTCATGAGGGCTTCCACCTCTGGCGACTTATACCTGGCTCCCAGATTTACTTAGGTACCCCATCAGTTGTCCACATGAGCAGCTTCATCTTTATTTACCCTACCAGAGTGAACGATTACGGGATGCTGTAGTCTACTAATACTTGTAAATGTGTGTTCCATCTGTCTGCCATCCTCTTAAGGTCAGGACCCAGTCATACATCCTTAGAAATGAAAGGATTGTTTGTGTTTTCTCTTAGAATGTCTGGTCTTGAGGGACCCCCCTCCCCCAATAAAAAACCAATATAGTCACTAGCTACTTAAGCATCAATGGGTATTGCTCTATATCAAAGCGGATTTACAGGACAGAGAAGGTAAATTAGCCTTCAGTCTTGGTTTACAGCTTTCAAGGAGAACCTGACCACCTGAAAGGTTAACTCAGTCTCTTCCTGTCTCTGGTTCATCAGCACCTGCAGATGCCCGACTCTTCTTAGCCTTCCTATTCAGTACAGTCCTTAGATTCATGGTATGCATCTTCCTATCCAAGTGCCAATTCTGAATCCTCATGTTTCTCTGCAGCTAGGGGTGATAGGAGAAAATCCATCTGGGTAGATGGCCCATGAATTTGTAGTAAACTTTCAAAATGACTGATTTGTACCTTGGTAATTTTAAGTTTGTGGTACAGATACTCTAAACCCGTACTCTGAGCAGTTAATGAACTAAGAAAAATGAAGGCCCTACAGGATGTGTCTCCATTCTCTGTAAGTGTTTACTTTATAATAGTCTTAAGCCTCTACTATCAGTAAAATGTTCTTGTGGTCAGGCGTGGTGACTCACACCTGTAATCCCAGCACTTTGAGGAAGCAGAGGTGGATCACTTAGCTCCAGGAGTTAGAGACCAGCCTGGGCAACATAGTGAGACCCTAGCTCTACAAAAAATAAAAACTTAGACTGGTGGCATGCACCTGTGTCCCAGCTAATTGGGAGGGTGAAGTCAGGGGATTGCTTGAGCCTGAAAGATGGAGGTTGCATTGAGCTGTGATTGCACCACTGCACTCCTGCCTGGGCAACAGAGCAAGACCCTGTCTTGGAGAAATCAGTTTCAGAAGAGCAAATGGGGCCGGGTGCAGTGGCTCATGCCTGTAATCCCTGAACTTTGGGTGGCAGTGTGGATCACCTGTGCCCAGGAGTTTGAGACTATCCTGGGTAGCTGGGCATAGTGGCACATACCTGTAGTCCCAGCTACTCTGGAGACTGAGGTGGGAGGATTGCTTAAGCCTAGGAGGCTGAGGCTGTGGTAGCCATAATTGCACCACTGTGTTCCAGCCTGGATAACAGAGCAACCTTTGTCTTGCTAAGTGGGGGAAAAAAGCAAATGGGATTGAGGAGTCCCATCGAATGGGAAGGGGAAAGGCAGTCTTAATATATGTGGAATAAACTTGCTCAGTGTTGCCTCCGTTACGTAACCAATGTGTAGAAGTCAGAAACTAGACACCTAGATTGGTTCAACATTAACATTTGAGGACTGTCTTAAATTATAGCCATCAAAGTATTCAAGCAAGAGCTTGGACAGCACAAAGATTCTACATGTCTAGAATCAAATCTGGCACCTAGATGCTTAATGCCACCAACACTGCAAACTATTCATTGATTTTGAGACCTCAGTCATCTGTTTCTATAAGTGGGGCATATGACCTCAACTTCAAGAGAAGCACTAAGGTAACCACAGTAAACCAGACCCTCCCCTTTCAGCAATCTCAAAGCAAAAACAAAAAAAACCCTACTTAGCTGTTATATAAACACTATAACAAGCACTAGGCTTAGAGAAAAAGATACCAGATTGTACTATCAATGATTATGTATCCATATTCTCTAAAATAGGGTCTGCAAACTGCAGGATTTGAAATCAATTTTTGTGGGTGATAATTAGAATTTTTTTTTTTTTAGATGGAGTCTTGCTCTGTTGTCCAGGCTGGACTCTGCCTCCTGGGTTCTAGTGATTCTCCTGCTTCAGCCTCCCGAGTAGCTGGGACTACAGGCACCCACCATCAAGCACGGCTAATTTTTGTATTTTTAGTAGAGACAGGGTTTCACCATATTGCCAGGCTGGTTTCAAACTTTGTGGTCTACCTGCCTCAGTCTCCCAAAGTGCTGGGATTACAGGTCTGAGCCACTGCACCCGGCCATGATTAGAATTTTTTAATGAAAGACATTAGAACATCTAAGCCCAATGCAATTTTGTGATAGCTGAGGTGCATTTTTGCATTACAGCATAGATCTGTGCGTGTAGATACATGCATTAAGTGTAGCAGATCATGATGTAAATCTTCCACTGCTGGTCATGGTCAAAAAGTTTGAAAAATGCTGAAGATAATAGCATTTGAGTCACTAGAAGCACCACATGTAGGGCAGGTTTTACAGAACCATTTAAATTCAACATTAATGGTAGAGTGGCATTTTACAAAAAAAAAAAAGGCATATTTGATTTGGGTGCTCAGATTACACAGAATCTAGGCAGTGAACACATCTTCAGCCTGGCCCATGAAATAGCCTATGAAAAAATGCTGTCCAGGCCAGGCACAATGGCTCAATGCCTATAATCCTAGTACTTCGGGAGGCTGAGGCTGGAGGATCACTTGAGTTCAAGACCTGCCTGAGCAATATAATGAGAAAAAATGCTTTCCGGCTGTGGACTTTCAGGATTCAGGACCGCTGAGGATCAAGCCTAAGATCAAGCTCTGTGATATAAGATGCTTGAAAACTAAGAATGTCCAAGAGGAGTAAAGGTCATGACAAAATTTACTCCCAGGGCAGTCTTAAAAAGTTCTGCCACAAGTATCCATGGTGTCTGTTCCCCAGCAGTGGCCCCTTCACAGGCTCTTGTCTTAAAACCCCTGCAGAAGCCCTTCAACAAAACTAATAGGCTAGTGATACCTCCTCACATGGGTAAGAATTGTAGTGGGCAGGTGACCCTCCTCCCGGCCTCCATCCTTTGCTTCCTCAAGCTCCCTGCCCACCTCGGGGCCCATAGATACCTCAATAGGAAGGAAACCAGGGAAGCATAGAGCTATAGGGTACAACAGGGGTGTAGTGACTGCTGGACCTGATGAAGAGAATATGCCTGACATGTAATAAGCCCTTTTATTTCCCTTCTGTGTTAAATGATCTGTTCTGCACTGAGCCAAGCAAGTTAGTTTTAAAACTGGTGGCACAACTCATTTGGGACTTGGAGACTGCTTTTATCCAGAACCTGTTAAGAGAGCAGGGGATTTAAATTAATACAAAGGAATATAAAGATAGTGTGCCTTAAAGACTAAAGTTACATTTTAGTTTGTTAGATTATTGATTTTGAAATATTAAACAACATGAAAGCAGAGTTTTAAATCAGGCAGGACACATGAATTTTAAAATGAACACTGTCCTACATCAATGAGGAGGGAGGCAAAGAGGTAATTTCAGGCTAAAACAGATTGAGGATGAAAGTAAGACAGAAGTAATGATTTGGCTTTTTCTGATTTTTTGCTGTGGAAATGGCAGTGGTGTGACTTTTCACTTGCAGTTTAAATGCAAGGCTGAAGTGAAGCTGACTTGCCCTAATGGCTCAGGGCTATATAACTAACCTTAGCCCTTGGGATTTCATCTCCTGGAAGTAGCACTGAGAACCCAAGAAGAGGGTCCACTGCTTTTTGCAAATGGTTACTGAGTTACATCTCAGGAAGATTTTTACTAAGCACAAGGAAGGAAAATTAAGTAGGGACTCCTTTTCAATAGCATCTTAGTTCCTAATAAGCAACTGGGGGGTGGAGGAGGATGTGTTGGCTGGTAAAGGAACTAAGATTCAGAAGCCTGTAATCTTCATTATTTTGATTGACAGGTTAAAATAAACCACTTAAGGCCAGTAGCGGTGGCTCATGCCTATAATCCCAGCACTTTGGGAGGCCAAGGTGGGCGGATCACAAGGTCAGGAATTCAAGATCAGCCTGGCCAACATAGTGAAACCCTGTCTCTACTGAAAATATAAAAAAATTAGCTGGGTGTGGTTGTGGGTGCCTGTAATATCAGCTATTCGGGAAGCTGAGGCAGGAGAATCACACCTGGGAGGTGGAGGTTGTAGTGAGCTGAGATTGCGCCATTGCACTCCAGCCTGGGTGACAATGCAAGATTCCATCTCAAAATAAATAATAAACCACTCAGTATTGCTTCTTTTACATTCAGATAATCACATCTGAAGTTATTTTAGGGCTCCAAGATTTTCTTATAACCTATAATATTTTACATAGCTCATACAAGTAAAATAGAAATATGACAAATAGGGAAGTTTAGCTTTACAAGTAATTATTTTGCAATTCTGTGCCACTCCAAAGGGGAAGACTGAATTTAGAACAGTCCCATTATCTCCTAATAAAAACATAGTATCCCCCAGGTAGGTGCCCAGAGTGCCTCTGCCTTTGAAATTTAAGGGCATTAATCTCAGGAACACAAAGCATGTGTTCCAATCAGAAACTAGATGTATTTTGTTAAGTAAATCCACTTAGGAGGGAACATAAGGAATATTAACATGAACACAAGCCAAAGGCGGACCAATAAATCCCCAAATCAAAGGACAAGGCCGGTGCCATACAGACACTTGAATGCAATTATCCAAATACAAGGGCTGGAATACACCTACAGATACATAAAACAGAACCTGCCCCCTTTGGGTTTACAGATGTATTGCTCAGATAAAAGTGCCTCCTCAATAATTTTTGTGAACACATAATCCCCAACAAAAAATTCTGAAGGAAGGTGACAATATTTTTATGTAGAGACGGTGGTCTTCATGGAGTAAAAACTTAAAAACTAAGAATTTGTGGCCAGGCGCAGTGGCTCACACCTGTAATCATGGCATGGACATGTAGTCCCAGCTACTTGGGAAGCTGAGGCAGGAGAATCACTTGAACCTAGGAGGCGGAGGTTGCAGTGAGCTGAGATTGTGCCACTGCACTCTAGCCTGGCAACAGAGCGAGATTGTCTCCAAAAAACAAAAAAAGGAAGATTTTGTTAGTGTTTATGCAATATGACAATTGTACTAATCTTTAAAAAGATGAACTGAGAAAGTTTTCTGGGTTTTATAGCAAATCTACATAAAATATACAACAAAACTATTTAATCTCTTCATTAAGATTCCAGGCTCCCCATCCCCACTTTGAAGATATTCCCAGCCAGGTACTAGAAAGAACTAATGTCTATTACCAGTGTTTTAGAACTGTGAGCTTTGACCAATATAGGGCTGCCAAATTAACTTGTGGGTAGAGACCAACATTTTATATTATTGGAATGATAGATCCCCAATTATCAATACATTGGCATTTTGGCTTGTTATCTTACTCTTTGAGACATCAATTCACCAAAACCTTCAAAGGCAAAAAGCAGACTCTGGACTTCTGGTAATGCAATTCACAGTCTGGAAACTCTGTGTACTAGAAGTTCCTACTTCTGCTGTTGTCTCTCAAGGAAATTTTCTGTACATACAACAAACTAGAAATGCACTTTTTGTTTTGTTTTGAGGCGGACTTTCGCTCTTGTGGCCCAGACTGGAGTGTAGTGGTGTGATCTCGGCTCACCGCAACCTCCACCTCCCAGGTTCAAGTGATTCTCCTGCCTCAGCCTCCTGTGTAGCTTAGATTACAGGCATGTGCCACCACACCCGGCTAATTTTGTATTTTTAGTAGAGATGTGGTTTCTCCATGTTGGCCTGGCCAGTCTCAAACTGCCGACCTCAAGTGATCTGCCCACTTCGGCCTCCCAGAGTGCTGGGATTACAGGCATGAGCCACCACATCCAGCCAGAAACACACTTTTTGAAAAGGATTAAGGTACTCAACTCAGTTTTCATCTTGTTGCTTTATTCAGTTTGCTTGGAGGGCAAAATCAACAGTAGTAGAGATCACAAACATTATTTTGATTGGCTTTACAAGCCTGATCAGTAAAACCTGAAAAACAGAAAATGTTACACAAGTTGCAAAGCAAGCACTCCTGGAGTTCACTGACATGATAGCAAGTGGAAATAATATAAATGCAACAGGTGTTAACATTTAGAACAGTACTTGTAAACCTGCTCCTTTCTAGAGAATTCTGGGACCCTTGCTGCAAACCCTTCATCTATCACTGCTGATTTCCTTTGACATGAAACATGACTTCACGAAAATCTTCCTAGACCTTACTCTGGCTGCACTTGTGTGGTTCCTATTCCTACGGCGCTGGCATATGCTGTCAGGATATCCACTATCTGCTTAGTTTCTAGGGTCATTCGGGCTTCCTTCAGCCAGTCCTGCGCCACTCGTCTGGATTCCCCCTTCAGCTGATTGACAAACTTTGCTGCTAGCTCCAGATCACCATGCTCAATGCAATAGGAGGCATATGACAGTAATTTAAATGTGTTTATATCCTCAGGGCAGAGCTCCGGGGGTGGTTTCAGTTGCTGAGGTGGGAATAGGAGCAGGGACTGCAGGTAGGAGAGGAAGTACTGGTATAAGCTATTCCTGGTTTCATCAATCATTGCTACCCTTCGGGCCAGTTTTTGAACAGCATAGAAACGGGCTCTAAGGGTCTCTTCACTGTACACCCCACGGGTCAAGGACTCTGGAGGGATAGCTGCGGTTAAAGCTTGGGTAAATTCATTATCAGAACAGTTGGCTTTGATGGCCTCAACTGCACTACCCAGTGGGACAGTAGGCGTTTCTGCAGATGAGGTTTTCATGCTGTACTTTAATGCCTCCACTGAAAGCCAGAGTTGGTGGGCTTTTCTGGCTTCCTCTTCAGCAACTGCATGACCTACAAAGAAAAAAGGCAAAGGCAAACATTTTTCTCTGCATCTGATGACATATATCCAAAGAACTGATGCACATTCAACAAGCTACATCTACACATGTAGAAGATGAGCCCAGAAAGAGCTCACCCTCACCACTTACTTCTGGCATATTTTCCTAGCTGGCCTCTTCATATCAGGCAGTAAGGCAAGACATGATTTGCTGGAATGCAGTGGTGCAATTCTCAGCTCACTGTAACCTATGCCTCCAGGTTCAAGTGATTCTTCTGCCTCAGCCTCCCAAGTAGCTGGAACTACAGGCATGTGCCATCACACCCGGCTAATTTTTGTATTTTTAGTAGAGATGGGGTTTCACCATATTGGCCAGGCTGGTCTCGAACTCCTGATCTCATGATTCACCCACCTAGGTCTCCCAAAGTGCTAGGATTATAGGCGTGAGCCACTGCTCCCAGCCAGCATGACATGATTTTACGGGGACTTGTTTTCACTAAAGTCCTGGAGAAAACAGGGAGGATGTATGTGCACAAGCACAACTAATCTCCCTTCCCTCTTCCTGTGACACCCAGGACAATGCTAGGTCAAGAGTACACAGAAGTCAATCACATCTGCATGATACCTAATCCACATATTTTTACCTTTAATAGTTGAGAAAGAAACATTATATTAGGCTAAGAATTTTGCTAAGTCTATTAGAAATTTTCTGCAAAGAAATGGGAGACTTCAGGACCAGGTACAATGGCTCAGGCCTGTAATCCCAGCACTTTAGGAGGCCGAGGTGGGTGGATCACTTGTCAGGAATTCAAGACTAGCCTGTCCAACATGGTGAAACACCGTGTTTACTAAAAATACAAAACCTAGCCAGGTGTGGTGGCGTGCACTGCTTGAACCTGGGAGGCAGGGGCTGCAGTGAGTTGAGATCACACTACTGCACTCCAGCCTAGGTGACAGAGGAAGACTGTCTCAAAAAAAAAAAAAAAAAAAAATGGCAGGGGGGTCGGAGGAGAGACTTCAAATGAACTTAACAGACTACTGGATCTTGAAATTCCATGAGTATTGAGTTTACTTTTACTGTTGTATGACCAAAAAAAAAAGATTCTATAACAGCCTTAAAAAAAAATTTTACTTTATTTTTTTTTTTGAGACGGAGTTTGACTCTTGTTACCCAGGCTGGAGTGCGATGGCACGATCTCGGCTCACCGCAACCTCCACCTTCTGGGTTCAGGCAATTCTCCTGCCTCAGCCTCCTGAGTAGCTGGGACTACAGGCACGCGCCACCATGCCCAGCTAATTTTTTGTATTTTTAGTCAAGACGGGGTTTCACCATGTTGACCAGGATAGTTTCGATCTCTTGACCTCATGATCCACCTGCCTCGGCCTCCCAAAGTGCTGGGATTACCGGCATGAGCCACTGCGCCCAGCCCAAAAAACATTTTATTAATACCCTCATCATCAAGACATTTCTCTTGCAATGTTGCACACGGAGGCCTCCGCATACATACTGTCCATTTGGTAGGTAGATCTGGCAAATCACCACGTCCAGATAATCCACCAAGCCTGTGGAAGGCAAGCATGGGACCATACTGACCCGTAGCCCTTACCACCAGGCACATGAGACAAAGCCAAAGGCAGCTGGGTAAATAGTCTTGTAAATGGTAATTTTGTGTCTGTCATACAAAGTATAAAATTTCTAGTTATACAGATTTTGCCATTCTTTTTAATGGCAATAACTGCAAGTAAGTAGAATGACTAGTATTTTTATGTCCTGATGTCAATATAAGTATCCCATTATCCTTACAAAATTATTTTAATAAATTATACCAAGGAAAATTATCTGTGAGATAACATAGCATATGCTCACTCTGAACAGCCTGTTCGATTCCTCTGAGTCTGGCATAGGCAGTGTTTATATCCAGAGTAAAGTTGTCAACTTGCTCTTGACTGAGACGACGAAACTGTAATTCCTGTTCAGAGAGTTGCTCAGATAGGTTCTGAAATAAAACATAAATAGTTGCAGAAAAAAGTGATACTCAATGCATGTCATGTAACTATTAATCTTCCAGTAACTACTTGGTGAAGCAAAGAGAGCCTTATAGTTGTCATGAAACTCCTACATTACGTGTAAACAAAGTTTCAAAAATGTCTTGACTCATATTTGATATATATAATCCTGCACAAATCTACTGATGGAACTTAATATTAGAGGAAGCATACCAAGAGAAGAGAGAAGCTTGTTAAAGACAAACAAACTACCAACTTTATTTTATTTTAGAGACAGAATCTCGCTCTGTCAACTAGGCTGGAGTGCAGTGGCATGACCTCAGCTCTGCAACCTCCATCTCCCAGATTCAAATGATTCTCATGCCTCAGCCTCCGGAGCAACTGGGATTACAGGCATGTGCCACCATGCCCAGCTAATTTTGTGTTTTTAATGGAGTTGGGGTTTTGCCACGTTGGTCAGGCTGGTTGAACTCTTAGCCTCAAGCGATCCACCCAGCTTGGCCTCACAAATTGCTGGGATTATAGGTGTGAGCCACTGTGCCCAGCCACAAATTGTCAACTTTAGAAAGTAAATTAGCTGTACTGCAAACCTAAACATAACTAATTAGATAAAATTATATTCTAATATCTTTTAAGAGCTTACACATTAATTTTTCTAAAAAAAAAATTCATCAAATAGAATTTAAAATACCTTTTCATATTGACATACATTTCGATTCTCTGGAAGATTTTACTTAAGTAAACCTCAGTATGTTCTTGCAAGACAAAGTAACAAGTTAATATTACTGTAAATGATTTCTTGAATAGCAACTATGATAAAAGATATCCTGATAATTAGCTGGGGCTTCAAAACTCAACTTCTCTGGGAAGTTACCTCAGTTATAAAAATTTAAGCACTATCATATCATCTATAGATATTATACCATCTATAGTACGTCAAATATTACTGTCTGCATTCCTGAAATCCCCTTTACCAACTCTCCTTAAAGCTCTGAAGATTCCAGATGACTAGTCTATATTAGAAATACATCTGATCATTAACATAAGGTACACCATTATGTAAAAATAAGCAATTCTGTAGACATACAAAAGCCCCACTCCACAAGGCTAGAATTGGATATCGTTCCCAATGCTTCGACATCCTCAGAGTACATTAAAAAGAAAGGAGAGTCTGTTAATCCTGTCGGGAAGAGGGGTGTGGCTGAAGGGAGTCCAGGCTTTACCACAGGTCCTCACCTGCTCAAATTCATACTTCAGTTCTTGTTCTTGTACTCTAAGGACATCTCGCAAGTGATCAGTGTGGGCAGCTGCCTGTCGGCGAAGCTGGGTTCTCATTTCATTCTCCATGGCATCTCTGACTTCCTCTATCTGTGAAACCAAACAACAATTATTAGTTTCCAATTCTCCACATATACTTTTAGGAAAACAGAAAGACCACTATCAACTATGACAACAGCAGCTTCCATATCCCAAACCCTCTAACGTGCCAGGCATGTGGACACTTCTTAGATGAAACAGAAAGCTGAATACTGGAGGGTGACTCAAACAAGATCACACAGCTGTGGCAAAAAACAGATTCCAAGGTCGGTCTCTCTCATCCCCAAACTTGTGGTTTTTTTCCATATCGCCAGGCAGCCTCTCATATAAAACACTGTCATTTCCTGAATCACATGCTCCTTTGAGAAAGAACTAAATCCAGGATATGAAGAAAAGTAAATATACAGTTGGGATCAAGCGTAGCTTTACTACCACCATCTGTGTGACCTTGGGGAAATGATTTATCTTCTCAAATCTCCACTTTCTCATTTGTGAGTAATAATGCCTACTTTGAAGAATCATTAAGAAAATTAGTATCTGGTAGCTATTGAACATAGTTTCTTCTAAACAAAGAAAACTGCTTATTTTTAAATGAATTTAAATTCAACTTGGGCCAAATAAAACAAAAAATACACCCTGCCTAACAATTAGCCATAGGTCACTTTACAAATTACTTAACACTAATTACCTGAAATTCAGAACTCATTTTTTCTAAGAAACAATATAATGAATCAATGAATCCATTCAGTCAGTGAATAAGTATTTACGAAATGCCAGTCCTGTGGGCCAGGCAGTGCCTACTATCTGTATGGATCCAACAGTGCTTAGGGCAGATGAAACTTTGCTCTCACACGGTGTATATCTCAATGGAGGAAACAGACAGTAAACAAACAAAAAGCACATCTCAGATTGTGATACATATTTCTACCTATGAATTCGAGCAGGCAAGGACCTGCTGTAAAGCATCAACATCCTTCAACCTCCTTTTCCCCCACCTTACATAACAGGAAGTAATACAGAGACTTTACTTTGGAGTAAAGGGATAGGAAATCTCAGCCTTGCTAAGAAGGTGACAGCTAAGCTTACAACCTAAGCTTAAAGCTTACGGTTTAAAGAAAGAAGACAGAACAATGTTCTAGGCAGAGCAAACATAAATGTCCTAATATAAAAGATATAGTCAAAGCACAGACAAAAATATAACAGGGTGCCTAGAGCAGTGAAATGGCTCATGGTATGTAGCAATCAAGAAGCCTTTTGGGTATTGGTTAAGAATTTGGAATTATATTAAATGAAATGGAGGATTTCCAGCCATGTATTATCTGATTTGACTGTGTTTTATTTGCTCGTATAAAGAGACACAGAAAGAAGGATATGAACAAAGGGGAAATTGATTGGGCATGGTGGCTCACACCTGTAATTCCAGCACTTTGGGAGGCCAAGGTAGGCGGATCACTAGAGGTCAGGAGTTCAAGACCAGCCTGGCCAACATGGCAAAAGCCCATCTCTACTAAAAATGCAAAAATTAGCCATGTGAGGTGGCATGCACATGTATTTCTAGCTACTTGCAAGGCTGAGAGGCATAAGAATCACTTGAATCTGGGAGGCGGAGGTTGTAATGAGCCAAGATTGCACTACTGCACTCTAATCTAGACCACAGAGAGAGAGACTGTTTCAAATAAGAAAGAAAACAGTGGAAACTGTTAAGATGACAGCTTGAGCTAAGGTGATAGTAGTAATGGAGTGGACAGATTTGGGATTCAGTTGGATGCAGAACTGGTAGGATCTGAGGAGGGACTGGATATGAGCTGACGGAGAAGCAACGAAGCATAATTCAGGCTGGAATAACTGAGTAAGTTGTTTAACTCAGTTTATTTAGAGAGAAACAAGCTGAGGGGCTGGAAGACAGGCTGGAGAGAATAAAGAAATCTGTTTTGAACATGATGAGCATGAAATGATTACTGAAAATCCAGCTAGAGATACCAGGTAGGCTGCAGGATAGGAACCTGAAGCTAAGGCAGAGGTCAGAGCTAGAGATAGAAACTTATTAGATATAGATGGTATTTAAACTTCCAAGCCACGGGACTTGACAAGAACACTTAGAGACAGTTTAGATGAAGAAAAGATTTCAGAACTAATATCAGGTATGCCACTATTTGAGAGGCTGAGCAGAAATGGAGGTTAAGGAGTGGCCAACAAGGGAGGATAAAGGCCAGAAGAATATGGTGTCTGGCAGCCTAGGGAAGAAAGAGTTTCAAGAAGGAGGGAGTGGTCGGTAGTACTGCTGAGAAGACACAAAGATGGGATGAGGAGTTGGGTTCCCAAATCAGCCTATGGACACCTATTTAATATATTGTGTACCCAGATAGAGGGCTAAAGAAGCTATTTCATCTGTTTTTTAACCACCAGCCACTTAACAACACAAGCAGAGAAAAATATATTCAGATGCCAACAAAGGTTCCTTCAGCACTGCTTTAAGGGACAGAGGCTCAGCTCCACTGGAAATATGAACTAGATAATCCTGGATGCCAGTAGCGTATGACTTTCTTATACTTCTGCATCTGCTCAACATAAAGGAACTCTACTAGATTACAGCTTTCCTAGAAGTTCTGATTAGGAGAATGAGGGCCTAAGCTCCATTCTAAAGGTCAGCTGGCATAATTTATAGTCAATATCCTAGAGTTAATGACTGTATTTTTTTTTAAGAGATGGAGTCTCATTCTACCACCCAAGCTGGAGTGCAGTGGCACCATCTTGGTTCACTGCAACCTCTGCCTCCCGGGTTCAAGGGATTCTCCTGCCTCAGCCTCCTGAGTAGCTGAGATTACAGGCATGTGCCACCACGCTCGGCTAATTTTTGTATTTTTAGAAGAAATGGGGTTTCACCATATTGGCCAGGCTGGTCTCAAACTCCTGACCTTGTGATCCGCCAGCCTAGGCCTCCCAAAGTGCTGGGGATTACAGGTGTGAACCACTGCACCCAGCTGAGCCAGTATTATTTCTAGAAGTAAACAATCAAGTTAGAGTCACTTTAAATGTCAGGCAACAATTCTCATTTCTTTTACCTTTTTTTCCTGTTCAGCCTGTATTTCACTTCTATGATGTTCTAATGCTTTTGCTACTGCAGAGTCAAATGCCCGCTTTTCTTCCAGCTTTTGTTTCTCCAAGGCTACTGTGATGTGCTGCTTTTCTGTGGCCTTCTGTTCTGCTAGCTCTCTGTTCAGCTGATCAATGCGACGATGTGCATGAGCAATGAGGGAGTTTAGATCATCAGTAGAGAGTTTGTCAGCTAAGCAAAAGAGCAGGTTAAAAAGTTAATGATTTCACTAAAATTATACCTCATTACAAGGTAATCTGCTTCACTTTACTGTAATTTAATAGCAGTAAACAAAAGTAAATTGTAGCTAACATAAAAAGGCATTTGGATTCTCCAGTTCAAGCAGAAATTGGCTAATATCCAATAAGGTATTTTTAACCCCTGGCAAAATGTAGGTAGGCCTTCAAATAATCAGTTCTTTTCCAGGAACTCTCTTTTAATCTGAACTAATTATAAATGACCTTTCTAATTTACTGTAACTTTGCCTCTAAAGACAAAACTTATATATACAATCACTTCTATATTTTCTTTCAGGCATAACTATTAGTTATAACAAGCATCTAATTGAAGATTCTTTTCTGCTAAAACTAAAAATCAAATTCAAGTTCCCTCAGACTTTTGCTTAATACGTTTTTTTTCCTTTTCTGAAACACATATGACCTAGGATAGTGAGCTACAGCAACCAGAGCTGTCCATCAGAATTACCGCAAAGCTTTTAAAAATACACCCAAAGATTCTCATCTAGGCTTAAACCAATGTCTGTTTTTTTAATAAACCTCAATCCAAAAGTGTTCCAACATATACACAGATTAAGAATTATGGCTCTGGCCAGGCGCGGTGGCTCATGCCTGTAATTCCAGCACTTTGCGAGACGGAGGCAAGAGGATCATCTGAGGTCAGGAGTTCAAGACCAGCCTGACCAACACTGGTGAAACCCCATCTCTACTAAAAATGTAAAAATTAGCTGGGCATGGTGGCAGGCGCCTGTAATCCCAGCTACTCGGGAGGCTGAGATAGGAGAACTGCTTGAATCCAGGAGACAGAGGTTGCAGTGAGCAGGGATCACTCCACTGCACTCCAGCCTGGGTGACAGAGTGAGATACCATCTTAAAAAAAAAAAAAAAAGAAAAGAAAAATTATGGCTCCATCAGCTGGATGCAACAGCTGATGCCGATAATCCCAGCACTTTGAGAGGCCAAGAGAGGTATATCATGTTAGGCCAAGAGAGGTGAATCATGTTAGGCCAGGAGTTTGAGACCAGCCTGGTCATCATGGTGAAACCCCTTCTCTACTAAAAATACAAAAATTAGCTAAGCATGGGGGCACACTCCTATAATCCCAGCTACTCAGGAGGCTGAGGCACAAGAATCACTTGAACCCGGGAGGTGGAGATTGCAGTGAACTGAAATTGTGCCACTGCACTCCAGCCTGGTGACAGAGCAAGACCCTGTCTCAAAAAAAAAAAAAAGAATTATGGCTCCATCACTTCTTGGTCTTTGGCTGAGATGAAAGAATTATGGCTCCAACAGCAAAATATAGAATGTAGGAAATTCTATATGATTAATGACTCAATTTCTTTAAAAATACATTGAAAAGCAAAAAACAAAAAGGGGCAAGAGATTTATTGACTAGATTCAACATGTGGAATGTCTATGGATATAGATTTGAATAAAAAACTGTAAAACCTCTTTCTATGAAACCACAGGGGATATTTCAACACTGAATGGACATTTGGTGACTGTAGGGAACTGTTACTAAGTTTTAGGTGTAATAATAATATGGTGATTATGTTTTTAAAACATACTGAAAGTATTTACAAGTAAAAGAATATGATATTTGAGTCTGCTTCTATATAAGCTAAGGCAGAGTGGGAGTAGATGAGACAAAACAGGCCATGTGCTGATGACTACGAAGCTGAGTGATGGGTCCTGGAAGTTTTTTAGTTTTCTTCTTACTTTTTAATGTTTGAAATTCTCTAAAGTAATCAGTTACAATCCATATTACACACACACACACACACACACACACACACACTTCACATCTATAAGATTCAAATCACTTAATGAAACATTTTCGTTCCTGAGAGCATATGGATGCCAAAAATATCCAATTCAGATTTATCACGTGACGTAATCCTACTTTATATCTATCTAGATGGTCTTGCATAAGAATCATAGGCACAACAAAAAGACACTAGTCTTTTAAAACTCAAAACAAAAGACTTTAAACATGAAATATACATAACACTCACCTAGGTCAGAAACACCTAAAAGGAAAAAGAACAGTTTGAAAAAAAAGAATGCACATACATTATTGATCATTAAACAGAAATATCTAAAAGGAAACAGAAGGATTAGGAGACTAGTACCAGGAAAAGCTATTTTAATACTGGAAAGTGAAATGATAGAGCTATTTCCTAAAATTTAAAGGAATTGTAAAACAAAACAAACCAAGGTAAATAACATTTTAGAAAATAAGAGAATCATTGATATTAAATGTGATTTTGGTTTTAAAGGACTTATCTCTGTTTCACAGTAATCAACTTAAATTGTGTGTGTGTGTGTGTGTGTGTGTGTGTGTGTGTGTGTGTGTTTTGAGACAGTCTGCCCCTGTCGCCCAGCCTGGAGTGCAATGGCACAATCTCAGCTCACTGCAACCTCCACCTACTAGGCTCAAGCTATCCTCCCACCTCAGCCTCCCAAGTAGTTTGGACCAGAGGCATGTGCCACCATACCCAGCTAATTTTTGTATTGTTTTATAGAGATGAGGTTTTGCCATGTTGCCCTGGCTGGTCTCAAACTCCCAGGCTCAAGAGATCCACCTGCCTCAGCCTCCCAAAGTGCTGGAATTATAGGAATGAGCCACTGTGTCCAGCAACTTAAACATTTTTTCTTCTTTTTATTTTTTTGAGACAGTCTCACTCTGTTGCCCAGGCTAGAGTGCAGTGGTGTGATCTAGGTTCACTGCAACCTCTGCCTCCTGGGCTCAAGCAATTCTCCTGCCTCAGCCTCCTGAGTAGCTGGGACTACAGGTGCCTACCATCATGTGTAGCTAATTTTTGTAATTTTAGTGGAGATGGGGTTTCACCATGTTGACCAGGCTGGTCTCGAACTCCTGACCTCAAATGATCCACCCGCCTCAGCCACCTAAAGTGCTGGGATTATAGGTGTGAGCCACCGTACCACCTGCCTCAACTTAAAGATTTCATAGAAACTATAATTGTCTTTTATCTCTCCCATTTTCATTAGTTCATAGAGTATTTTACTAAATCATAGTTTTGACTCTCTGTTCTCAGTACCAGTCCTCTTTCAACATTTCGAATACTTAATAAATTCATTTTTTCTTTGGAAATTTTAAAACAGTGAATTCATACCAAATTTTCATTTAATCTGTGCAAATTAAAAAAAGAACTACAAGGGCCTAATTTGAGAGTAAGGAAAAAAATGGCATTCTACATAATTTGAATGATGCCCCCCACCATGATCACTACCAACAAAAGTGTGACCATGTGACAGGAGAGGGGGACTGCAGCTGGTCTCAGCTACTGCCTCTCAGGATGAGCTACTCAACATCCTGGTATGAATGTCTTTCTTTTTTTTTTGAGTCAGAGTCTCACTCTGTTGGCCAGGCTGGAGTGTAGTGGCAGGATCTCCACTTACTGTACCCTCCACTTCCCACATTCAAGCGATTCTCTTGCCTTGCCCTCCCGAAGAGCTGGGACTACAGGTGTATACCACCATGCTCGACTAATTTTTGTATTTTTAGTAGAGACAGGCCACCATATTGGCCAGGCTGGTCTTGAACTCCTAACCTCAGGCAATCTGTTCGCCTCAGCCTCCCAAAGTGCTGGGATTAGAGGCATGAGCCACTGCACCCAGCCAGTCCTGACCTGCTTAATAACCTTTTGATACAAGTCCAAAGACAGGTATTTTTCATCCAAGGGGGTCTAAACATCAACCGACTAAACAACTCCCTCCTACACCATCAATCTCATATAAAAATAAAGTTTTCTCCTCATTATAGTTACATCATTCCTCTTCTCAAAAGGCCAAAAGGGAGTCCCATGCTGCTGATACAAATCATTCAGGCAGGGAACAGTGAGGCTAGTGGGGGAGAAAGAAATCCCAGCTCTACCCCAACCTTGCGCAAATTACTTTTCTGCCCAGTTTTCTCATTTAAGTAATTGGGATAACAAAATTTATCTTTCAAGGCTTTTATGAATTTCAAATAAAGTAATACATGTGAAGCGCTTAGAACTCAGTGCCTAGTACAAAATAATGCTCAATACCACTAGGTGGTATTACATTTGGAACCTTGCTCAGCTACAGATAACACAGAAAGAGTACTGGACAACACCAGGACATTTGTCCTTTGGGGAAATAATTAGGAGCAATCCCAGAACTTAAAGTATAATTTTAAAAAATGCTAGGAGCAAAATGCCTCATTAGACAAACCAACACTAACAAATTTGGTTTAGATCTTAGTGTGTTCTGATTTCAGAAGTGAGGACATCCACCGAGGACTGGGATAATCATGGAATAATGACTATCTCTAGAAATAAGCAAGAAATCAGTAATGGGGTTGTCCCTGAGGAGGAAAACCGTGTAAGTGGGAAGGAAACCTCAAATGCCAACTGTACCCTTTCAAATTTTGTACTGTGAATATGTACTCTATTTTATAAATTAGCAAACATCACCCAAATAAGAAACAATTCAGAGATTGCTCCACAATGGACTCTCACTTTCTACATGACACCTTTCTTTAGCACAGGTTTCTCAACCTTGGTGTTACTGACCTTCTGGTCCAGACAGTTCTCTGCTGTGAGGGGCTATTCTGTGTACTACAGTATGTTTAGCAGCATGTCTGGCCTCCACCCACTAAATACTAGTAGCTCCCTCCAGTTGTGGCAAACAAAAAATGTCTCCCAGTATTGCCAAATATCCAGGGAGGGGCAAAATGCCCTCAGTTGAGAACCAGTTTAATATTTTCATGTTTTACTATAGTTGGCCGGGCATAGAGGCTAAGGTGGGAGGATCATTTGAGGTCAGGAGTTAGAGACCAACCTATCCAACATGATGAAACCCCATCTCTAATAAAAATACAAAAAAAATTAGCCAGGTGTGGTGACACATGCTTATAATTCCAGCTACTAGGGAGGCTGAGGCAGGAGAATTGCTTGAACCTAGGAGGCAGAGGTTGCAGTGAGCCAAGATGGTGAAATTGCACTCCAGCCTGGCGAGCGCAAGATGTCTTAAAAAAAAATGTTAAAAACATCAGAGCTGGCTTGGAAAAATTATTAGGATTTAGTCTACTGGGAAGACCAAAGACAGAATGCAAATTCTTAGGGCTGATGCTTGTAAGTAACTCTCCACAAATAAAATTTGTCCTGCCCTGTCAATCTAATTTCATTTTATGTGAGCTAGTGGAGACTCCCTACTACCTACCATGTCAAGTTTATACCAAGGAGCTTACATCTACCTAATGCAAAGAGACAACAAACAAGCCAATGAATAAAAATTTCAGGAAGATAAAGTAAGGTAACATGGTACAGTGGTTTGTGGAGGAATACAGTCAGGGAAGGTCTCTGAGGTGCTCACATCTGTTTCAGTTGTAACCTCAATGAAGCAAAGACAACCCCTTGAGAAATTCTGACGAGGGAAACAGTGCCAACATGGCTCAAGTTTATCCTTCTCAAGGATGAATGGTCCACAATGCCCTCTTTGTCAGATGGTAGCTATCCAGCATCTAAACAAGTCACTGGTCACAGACTGAACTTTGTATTTTTCCACATTATTCTCTCATAAATCGTACTGTCATTTTTTTTTTTGAGACGGAGTTTCGCTCTTGTTACCCAGGCTGGAGTGCAATGGCGCGATCTTGGCTCACTGCAACCTCCACCTCCTGGGTTCAGGCGATTCCCCTGCCTCAGCCTCCCGAGTAGCTGGGACTACAGGCATGTGCCACCATGCCCAGCTAATTTTTTGTATCTTTAGTAGAGATGGGAGTTTCACGATGTTGACCAGGATGGTCTTGATCTCCTGACCTCGTGATCCACCTGCCTCGGCCTCCCAAAGTGCTGGGATTACAGGCTTGAGCCACTGCGCCCTGTACTGTCACTTTTTTACTGGACAAGAGTCTGACATCTGCCTCCTGAGTCGACTGCATTCAAAAAACTAAATGTTTGAGTTATCTTTCGACAGGCTTAACTCCACTTCTTCACATTCAATCTCCCTGGGTGGCCATTATGCAGAATTATTATAAATCCCTGCATTGGTCTTTATTATCTTTGCTCCTTAGACCAGCCACAGTTCTGTGATGCAACCCTGACACCTTCAGCACAGAGAGACCTATGACATGAGAAGTCTGCTTTCTAATAGATGCTAGCATTTAAACAGTATTTTAGGCCAAGGGTGGTGACTCATGCCTATAATCCCAGTACTTTGTGAGGCCAAGGTAGGTGGATCACTTGAGGTCAAGAGTTCAAGAACAGCCTGACCAACAAGGCGAACCCCTGTCTTTACTAAAAGTACAAAAACCTGGCCAGGCACGGTGGCTCATGCATGTAATCCCAGCTACTTGGGAGGCTGAGGCAGGAGAATCACTTGAACCCAGGAGGCGGAGGTTGCAGTGAGCCGAGATCCGATCATTGCAGTCCAGCCTGGGCAACAAGAGTGAAACTTCATCTCATAAAAACAAACAAACAAAAAAGTACAAAAAATTAGTTGGGTGTGGTGTCGCACTCTTGTAATCCCAGCTATCTGGCACATTGAGACAGGAGGATTGCTTGAACCTGGGAGGCAGAGGCTGCAGCGATATAAGATTGCACAACTGGATTCCAGCCTAGGCAACAAATAATAAAAATAAAAATAAACAGTATTTTAATTTTGCTGAGACTGGTGATCTCTGTGATTCTTAGTAGTATCACAGAACTTCAGGGAAATGTGACTACTATAGTTATACCATGTAATGACTTCAGCATCTAAGTTCCCTGTAGTCTCAGCTTGAGGAAGTGCATAGCCAGACAGACGATTTCCTGCTTAATGCCGGGTCCCTAGTGAATTCTCAACAAAGTGTTATTTTGTCATAGAGCAATCATAAGGTGTGCTTTAAATAATTCACTACAAATACTTTTGAAGTAACAAGGTTTTTTAATACTTATAAATAATATTTCAATAGCATCAAGGTTATAATGCCACTTTTGTTCACTTGAATTCCAAACTTTTTTTTTGAGAGTAGCAAAGAACAGAACAGAATCACAGATTATGGAATTAAACACTGGCTGGAACTCATGTTCACCACAGCTAAAACTACAGGAATATTGTAGCGGATGTGTTATCTGTAATGATTGCAGTTAAAATGAAATGTTGAAACATTATACTATACACAAAAAGAGATATGCGTGCCAGAGGGATTTGGACTACAAGTTTAGACTCACTGATTAGTTGTGAAAACATAAAAAAAAAAACATTACTTCAGTTGTACTTACTCATTCCTTTCCACCCAGGAAGAACTTCTGGAGTAATACTGTCCAGCTCTCGTTTAAAGTCATCCCGAGCTTGGACCACCAGCTCATGATACTGAGATACAACCTTAGCCTCAGACTGAGCTGCTTGGACCTGAGCAAATACAAAGGGTATATGGTTAAACTGAACAAAAAGTACCATAAACATTCCAAGAGGCCAGGTGTAGTGGCTCACGCCTGTAATCCTAGCACTCTGGGAGGCCAAGGCAGGCGGATCACAAGGTCAGGAGTTCAAGACCAGCCTGACCAACATGGTGAAACCCCCATCTCTACCAAAAATATCAAAATTTTCGGGCATGGTTAATTCCAACTACTCAGGAAGTGGAAGCAGGACAATAGCTTGAACCCTGGAGGCAGAGATTGCAGTGAGCCAAGATCACACCACTGCACTCCAGCTTGGGCAACAGAGCAAGATTCTGTCTCAAAATAAAATAAAATTAAATTAAATTAAAACATTCCAAGAAATAGAAGTAGTATTTCTTCATTTGTTTACATTTTGTTGGAAATGTGCAAAGAAATCTGAAGCTCAGAAAATGGAACATAATCCTTATTTGTTTCCTTCTAATTCCTATTCAAATACCATGGACAGGCCCTTTCCCATTTTATTATGTCCCCTCTCCTCTTTCTGTGGGTCACAAGAAACTACCCATACAGATTATATAAAGTCCAGGCAGGAGATGTGCTACAAAACAAACATTTTCACAAGTGACATTAACCATAACCAAAAATGCTACCTATTATGTAAAATATCAACAATACAAAACAATCCACTCGGTTGGTATCCAAGGCAAAGTTTTCTTTCCTTTTTTTTTTTTGACAGGGTCTCACTCTGTCACCCAGGATGGAGTGCAGTGGCCCCATCTCAGCTCACTGCAGCCTCAACTTCCCAGGCCCAAGCCATCTTCTCACCTCCGTCTCCTAAGTAGCTAGGACTACAGGCACATACCACCACACCCATTTAATTTTTTCGTATTTTTTGTAGAAACAGGGTTTCACCATGTTGCCCAGGCTGGTCTCAAACTCCTAGGCTCAAGTGATCTGCCTGCCTAGGCCTGCCAAAGTCCTGAGATTACAGGTGTCAATCATAACACCCAGCCATGGCAAATTTTTAAAAATAGTAACAACTAATATATTTTGACTTTGCAGGAGAAAAGATTGGGAGACGGTAGGAATTTATTATTTTCCTAAATCCTTAAAATTCTTTGACAAAGGGATTATATTTTAAAAAATAAAATATTGTAAGACCTAGGAAACATACCTTTTTGACCACATTATCCAGATCTACTATCATGTTGTGAAGTTTACCCTCTGCAGCAGTTATATGAGGCTTGGCCCCAGCGACCTCTTTTTTCTTTGCATTTTCAATCACACTTTTCATCTTCTCTAACTCTTCTCTGCAAACCAACAAAGATTTAATATAATTCTTGTCAACTGTATTAAAGAGTTTTGATGTCAGTACAATATGTCATTGTTAAAAGTCCATGAAAGAGGCCGGGCGCAGTGGCTGATGCCTGTAATCCCAGTACTTTGGGAGGCGAAGGCAGGAGGATCACTTGAGCCCAGGAATTCAAGACCAGCAGGGCAACAAAGGGAGACCATGTCTCTATTTTATTTAAAAAAAAAAAAAAGAAAAGTCTATGAAAGAAATGTAATTGCTTTTTCTTTCTTTTTTTTAAAGACTAGTCAAGTGCAATAGTGTTTTTTAAAGACTAGTCAAGTGCAATAGTGAGAAAGGAAGAAAGAATAGAATGAGGAGCTTGGTCCATAACTGACTATGATCAACTGATCTAACTCATTATCTCTGGACCAGCATCAATGCTTTTTTGTAGTCAGTAAACAGAGAAGCTTTTCTCACCAACAACTGAAAACACTTTGGTTAGAAGCTAGATTTACCAGAGTGAATCAGAGGTAGCATGGTATATGAGGTGACCCAGACTTCAGAACAAGACAGCCCCAGATTCAGCTCCCATATCAGCTTCTCATTTCCTACATACTTTCACGTAAGGAATAGAAGTAATTCATGAGAAGTACTTAGTGCCTGACCGTATCATAAGCACGCGATAAACAGCAGCTCTTGCAAGGATCAACCTGACTCTACAGCCAATCAGAGAGCTCCCAAAGGCAAAGGCACAGGAGAAGGCCAAAAACCTCACTAAGCAAATACTTAACAGGGTCTCAGGGAGCCCTCACGATTCACAATGTCTCATAAGACAGACAGACTGTGGTCTACCCATCGTAAAACACACAACTCAAAGTGATAAGAGCATAATGCCTTAAGTCTATAAAAAGATATGCTGGTTTTATCAGGCTTCTTTCTCTACTAATAATAAATATTTTCTTAAGAAAGACAGTAAAATTTTGAGTGACAGATAACTATTCCATACTGCTGATGAGGATCTTTAGTCAAATGTAGGTTTTCATCAGCAGAGGTTGATCTTATACCTGGGTTTGTTTGCTTGATTCTAGTTTTAGACAACTTCCAGGAATCAAGGTCGAGGTGGCATACCTATTACATACTCACTATTTTGGTAGTTAAGGCAAACAGATTGTGACATACTTTCTACATTCTGGGATTACAGGTGTGTAATCCCACCTAATTATATTGTATTTCGCCATGTTGGCCAAACTGGTCTTGAACTCCTCCAGCCTAATTATATTTTATTCCTTCTCTCTTTTTACACCTTTGTACACGTTCCCAATGCCAATTCAGAACAAGCACAGGTGGAAAAGGGAGGGAAGGGTTTCTCTATCTCCTCTTTATACAGACAATACAAATAAAACCCAGCCCAAAGAAAGCCACCAGGAGGCCCTAATTACTTGTTAAAGTCCATGAGTAATTACTTGGCTTTGAGAAGGGCATCGGCAGCTTCATCTACTGCCTTTCTGCGTTCCTTCAACGCACTCTCCACTGTGCGCCACTGAGCAGACTTCTTCTCGCCTGCAATCTAAACAAAAAAATTTTAATTACATAAACATAAATAATTGCAACTATTGTCATAAGGTAGGCCAACAAGATTAAACACAGAAACATGTGACACATTAAATTCAAAGGTGAAAATTTATATATTTCTCCAGAGTAAGAAGTCTTAATTTAAGGCTTATGTTTTCACGCAGTGAAGTCCATGATACATCTCTCATCAACTGTCTTTCCACAAAATTGTTCAAAAAAAAAAAAAAAAAAAAAAAAAAAAAAAAGGTTGTGTCCAGTACATATAAGCTTTTTTTTTTTTTTTTGAGACAGAGTCTTGCTCTGTAGCCCAAGGTGGAGTGCAATGGTGTGATCTCAGTTCAATGCAACCTCTGCCTCCCAGGTTTGAGCAATTCTCCTGCCTCAGCCTCCTAAGTAGCTGGGATTACAGGCATGTGCCACCACACCCGGCTAATTTTTATATTTTTAGTAGAGGTAGGATTTCACCATGTTGGCCAGACTGGTCTTGAACTCCTGATCTCGCAATCTGCCCACCTTGGCCTCCCAAAATGCTAGGATTACAGGCATGAGCCACTGCCTGGCCATATAAGCATTTTCTAAGGAGAGGTTTTTTTTTTTTAAGATTCTCGAAAGGATTTATGAACCAAAATTAGAGTTTAAGGATAAATAGCAGGTTTACACATTTATAGGGTCCTTATTCCTCCTAAATGTTATTCTAAAAAACAACCCTCCCTAATTTATTATGTATAAGTCAAAAACCTCCCTTAGGGCTGGGCATGGTGGCTCACATCTGTAATGCCAGCACTTTGGGAGGCCGAGGAGGGTGGCTCACGAGGTCAGGAGATCGAGACCATCCTGGCTAACACAGTGAAACCCCATCTCTGGAACCAAAAGAGAGCCCGCATAGCCAAGTCAATTCTAAGCAAAAAGAACACAGCAGGGGGCATCACACTACCGGATTTCAAACTATACTACAAGGCTACAGTAATCAAAACAGCATGGTACTGGTACCAAAACAGAGATATAGACCAATGGAACAAAACAGAGGCACCGGAGGCAACACAACATACATACAACTATACAATCTTTGATAAACCTGACAAAAACAAGCAATGGGGAAAGGATTCCCTGTTTAACAAATGGTGTTGGGAAAACTGGCTAGCCATGTGCAGAAAGCAGAAACTGGACCCCTTCATGACACCTTACACTAAAATTAACTCCAGATGGATTAAAGACTTAAACATAAGACCTGGCACGATAAAAACCCTAGAAGAAAATCTAGGCAAAACTATCCAGGACATAGGAGTAGGCAAGGACTTCATGAACAAAACACCAAAAGCATTGGCAACAAAAGCCAAAATAGACAAATGGGACCTAATCAAACTCCACAGCTTCTGCACGGCAAAAGAAACAGTCACTAGAGTGGATCGGCAACCAACAGAATGGGAAAAAATTTTTGCAGTTTACCCATCTGACAAAGGGCTGATATCCAGAATTTACAAAGAACTCAAACAGATTTACAGGAAAAAAACAAACAAGCCCATTCAAAAGTGGGCAAAGGATATGAACAGATACTTTACGAAAGAAGACATATATGAGGCCAACAATCATATGAAAAAATGCTCATCGTCACTGATCATCAGAGAGATGCAAATCAAAACCACATTGAGATACCATCTCACGCCAGTTAGAATGGCGATCATTAAAAAATCTGGAGACAACAGATGCTGGAGAGGATGTGGAGAAAAAGGAACACTTTTACACTGTTTGTGGGGAGTGTAAATTAGTTCAACCATTGTGGAAGACGGTGTGGCGATTCCTCAAGGCCTTAGAAATAGAAATTCCATTTGACCCAGCAATCCCATTACTGGGTATATATCCAAAAGACTATAAATCGTTCTACTATAAGGACACATGTACACGAATGTTCATTGCAGCACTGTTTACAACAGCAAAGACCTGGAATCAACCCAAATGCCCATTGATAATAGACTGGATTGGAAAAATGTGGCACATATACACCATGGAATATTATGCAGCAATCAGAAATGATGAGTTTGTGTCGTTTGTAGGGACATGGATGAATCTGGAGAACATCATCCTCAGCAAACTGACACAAGAACAGAAAATGAAACACCGCATATTCTCACTCATAGGTGGGTGATGAAAAATGAGAACACATGGACACAGAAAGGGGAGTACTAAACACTGGGGTCTATTGGGGGGAAAAGGGGAGGGCCAGTGGGAGGGGGAGGTGGGGAGGGATAGCCTGGGGAGAAATGCCAAATGTGGGTGAAGGGGAGAAGAAAAGAAAGCACATTGCCATGTGTGTACCTACGCAACTGTCTTGCATGCTCTGCTCATGTACCCCAAAACCTATAATCCAATAAAAAATTAAAAAAAAAAAAAAAAAAAAAAGAAACCCCATCTCTACTAAAAATACAAAAAATTAGCCAGGCGTGGTGGCATGCACCTGCAGTCCCAGCTAGTTGGGAGGCTGAGGCAAGAGACTCACTTGAACCCGGGAGGGGGAGGTTGCAGTGACCAAGATTGCACCACTGCACTCCAGCCTGGGTGACAGAGCAAGACTCCATCTCACAAAACAAAACAAAACAAAACAAAACAAAACAAAACAAACAACCTCCCATGAGGTGAATTTTATGATCTGTGAAGTGTGTATTTTTTTTAAAAGTTTTCCTTGAAAATCTTAGGCAGGTCCAACATGTTTTTCTTCAGCTATGAAACTGATTGCCACTTTTTTGAGCAGACCTTGCTCATATGCAGGGAATATATGATACTGAGAAAAAAAAACCCTGTAACACTATAATCACACTAAGTGCAGTAAGATCACACAATGGGGGGGGGGGTGTGCAAGGTACTCAGAAAACTTAGGGCCTAGACAGGGTGTGGTAGCTCATGCCTGTAACCCCAGCACTATAGCAGGATTTCTTAAGCCCAGGTGTTTGAGACCAGACTTGAATAACATAGGGAGACGCCATTTCAACAAAATAAAAAAAATAGCCAGGTGTAGTGGCTCATGCCTGTGGTCCCAGCTACTTGAGTGGCTGAGATAGGAGGATACTTGAGCCCAGGATGAGTCTACAGTGAGCCGTAATCAAACCACTGAACTCCAGCCCGGGTGAGAGAGCAAGACCCTAGCTCAACAACAAAAAAATCTGTGAAATAGTAACCAAGATCTAGTGGCAGAACTAATAAATACCCTATTTAGAAGTAGTGATGAGCATACATAATATTCCTGCAAGTACTATAACGTGATCTGAAAACATCTGTGCTTTCTATGGCTGACGTGGTCACAGTACTGTGGTTTGCTGCCAATATTCATCGTTGAAGAAAATGGTCTTAAATTTCAATTTGAGGCTAGGGAAAATAAAGATGTTTCCCTTCCTTCAAATTCAATGAGCCCCTGAATTCTATCTACAGACCCAACTCCTGGTTAAGAGTCCCTACATTTAGCTGGGTATGGTGGTACATGCCTGCAGTCCCAGCTACTCAGGAGGCTGAGGTGGGAGGATCGCTTGAGCCCAGGAGTTCTGGGCTGCAGTGCGCTATGCCGATCAGGTGTCCGCAGTAAGTCTGGCATCAATATGGTGACCTCCCAGGAGCAGGGACCACCAGGTTGCCTAAGTAGGGATGAACCAGCCGAGGTCAAAACTCCCATGTTCATCAGTAGTGGGATCGTGCCTGTGATTGTCACTGCACTCCAGCCTGGGCAACATAGAAACACCCCATTTCTTTAAAAAAAAAAAAAAAAGTCCCTACTTTTAGAAGAAATATTAGTACTTCTTTTCTTTGTGTATTGCTTTTTAAATGTTACATGTAAAATTTTGCAAAGTATATCTTATGTGAATAATAAAGTTGATGTTTCAGTGAATTCCCACTTTAGTCATCTTGCAAATAAAATACATCAAGAATGGATGCTGATTTGGGGCCAGGCACTGTGGCTTACACCTGTAACCCTAGACTTTGGGAGGTAGAGGCAGGTGGATCATTTGAGGTCAGGAGTTTGAGACCAGCCTGGCCAACACAGTGAAATCCTGTCCCTCCTAAAAATACAAAAATTAGCCAGCCATCATGGTGGGTACCAGTAGTCCCAGCTACTTGGGAGGCTGAGGCAGGAGAATCACTTGAATCTGGGAGGTGGAGGCTACAGTAAGCCGAGATCACGCCACTGCACTCCAGCCTGGTGACAGAGCAAAACTGTCTCAATAAAATTTTTTAAAAAGGCCAGCCATGGTGGCTCACACCTGTAATCCCAGCACTTTGGGAGGCCGAGGTTGGTGGATCACAAAGTCAAGAGATCGAGACCATCCCGCCAATATGGGAAACCCCATCTCTACTAAAAATATAAGAATTAGCTGGGTGTGATGGCAACTACAAGTCCCAACTACTAGGGAGGCTGAGGCAGGAAAATTGCTTGAACCAGGGAGGGGGAGGTTGCAGTGAGCCAATATTGCGCCACTGCACTCCAACCTCATGATAGAGTGAGTGAGACTCTGTCTCAAAAAAAAAAAAAAAAAAAAATGGATGCTGATTTGGGCCACATGAATATCCTGTCATATATGATAACTTTTCCAAGACTCTAGAGTATGATGTAGAAGAATCTGACCTCATACTAGAAGTGCTCTTTATAACTGACCTGAACAGACTCACAAATCATGTAAATGTCAATGACACATCTGGGGGCCAAAATTTATCACCCTTGTTGAAAGTACTCCTCCTTACAGAGGTCCAAAGAAAACCTACCCTGTAACAGACAGACACAGGTTCCCCTACAATCAAACGAAATCCTATTATTACCAAATCCAACTCTTCACAAACACTGCTTTGAGAAAGTTAATTAGTATATATTAGGAATTACATGTGCACGTGCAGCTTCTTGTACTACAAGAAACGAAAGCTGGAAGTCATTCTTAACATTTCAAAACACATGTTCATACATTTTTCTAATTATTTTGTACATTAGCTAATACTCCCATTTCTTTTTTCTTTTTTGAGACAGTTTCGCTCTTGTTACCCAGGCTGGAGTGCAATGGCGCAATCTCGGCTCACTGCAACCTCCGCCTCCTGGGTTCAGGCAATTCTCCTGCCTCAGCCTCCTGAGTAGCTGAGATTACAGGCACGCGCCACCATGCCCAGCTAATTTTTTGTATTTTTAGTAGAGACGGGGTTTCACCATTTGATCAGGATGGTCTCGATCTCTTGACCTTGTGATCCACCCGCCTTGGCCTCCCAAAGTGCTGGGATTACAGGCTTGAGCCACCATGCCCAGCCAATACTCTCATTTCTTAACTGCTACCATTAGGTTGTAAAATCTTGATTGCAATAGATTTTACACTGTCTAATTGACATGTGCTACACATTATGTGCACCGGGAAGCAGAAATACCCCCTCATGTAGCCTTATACCCAAGTAGCACCACGGCATTTAAAGCTTCTAATCTGTGTCCTTCTGAGAGATACTGGTCTACTTGGGTTTGAACCCAATACCCTGACATCATGCAACTTCTAGCCTTCCCATATCTGTAACCAGCAAATTAAATTTCCTGTGTGGTTTCCATTTTGCTGACTGAACTCTGATATTTAAACACTTTTCTTGAACTTTGAATAAAATGGAATTTTCCTTAAGTTTTCAAATGTTGTATTTTTTTTTTTTTTTTTTTTTTTGAGACGGAGTTTCGCTCTTGTTACCCAGGCTGGAGTGCAATGGCGCTATCTTGGCTCACCGCAACCTCCACCTCCTGGGTTCAGGCAATTCTCCTGCCTCAGCCTCCCAAGTAGCTGGGATTACAGGCACGCGCCACCATGCCCAGCTAATTTTTTGTATCTGTAGTAGAGACGGGGTTTCACCATGTTGACCAGGATGGTCTCGATCTCTTGACCTCGTGATCCACCCATGTTGGCCTCCCAAAGTGCTGGGATTACAGGCTTGAGCCACCGCGCCCGGCCCCAAATGTTGTATTTTTTTACTACTAACATCAGAGGTCTAATTTAAACTCTTTTGCAATATATATACATATAACTAAAACTATGTAAAGTGTGTTTAAATTTTTTTTAAAAACTACAGTTATGATGGCAAAGCAACTTTACTGATCATGAATGATCCTGATCCTTAATATTTATGTTTTATGTTTTTACTTTTATATTACTCCTTAAGTGACTTGGAATAGAGATACATTCATACATACTGAATAACTTAATGTAATTAAAAAATAATTTATTGAGTCCCAGTATTACATCTGAAAAATCAGTATTATTTCATTCTTTGAAGTGCTCTGCATAAATTAAATAATCATAAACATTTCAAATAGCTGGTGTTTCGGGGAACACAGGATCTCTCCAAATTATTTCTTAAAACTGCATGTCAACTGACAAGTACCTTAAAAAGTTCATCTATGGAAACAGCAATTTTAAAGAAAACAACAAAAATGTTTAGGCACTATTAAAATATGACAGTAAATATGAACTAATTCTTGTATCAGTATTGTAAGATAAAATAAAGCACAATGTAGAAAATTTGTTCCAAAAATTTAAAGGCTTTTCAGTTTTTTTTTGTTTCGTTTTTTGTTTTTGAGACAGAGTATCACTCTGTCACCAGGCTGGAGTGCAGTGGCATGATCTCAGCTCACTGCAACCTCCTACTCCCTGGTTCAAGCTATTCTCCTGCCTCAGCCTCCCAAGTAGCTGGGATTATAGGCATGCACCACCATGCCTAGCTAATTTTTATATTTTTAGTAGAGATGGGGTTTCATAATGTTGGCCAGGAAGGTCTAGATCTCCTGACCTCATGATCCACCCACCTTGGCCTCCCAAAGTGCTGGGATTATAGGCATGAGCCACCACACTCAGCCTTTTAGTTTGTTTTTTAAAGATAATTATCCTAAGGCCAGGCACAGTGGCTCACACCTACAATCCCAACACTTTGGAAGGCCAAGGTAGTCAAGTCACTTGAGGTCAGTGAGTCCAATCTGGCCAAAATGGCAAACACTGTCTCTACTAAAAATAGAAAAATTAGCTGGGTGTGGTGGCAGGCACCTGTAATCCCAGTTACTCAGGGGGCTGAGGCAGAGAATTGCTTGAACCTGGGAGGTAGAGGCTGCAGTGTGCTGAGATCGCATCACTGTACTCCTACCTGGGCAACAGAGCAAGACTCCATCTCAAAACAACAATAACAAAAAAAGATAATTATTCTAGACTGTTTCGCCTAGTGAAAGTCCATACCATAGGGAAGAAAGCAGTCTATTAAATATTATACTTCTCTCCAACCCCCTTTTTTTTTCTTTTTGTCCCACAAGTCATGACAGCCAAAAAGCTTCTAATCATTGGGCTCACCTCAGAATTGTCCATGGCGGCTTTCAAAATGTTGGAGTGTGCATTGACAGCCTGTACTGCAGCATTCTGAGCTGCAATAGCCTGCAGAGTGACACTTGCAGTTTGCCTCAGAGCATCTTCTAAGCTCTTGGCTAGAGCTTAAAAAAAAAAAAAAGAACAATTAAAAAACAAATCCCTACCCCCACAAATGACTGGAAACTTGCTGTTCTCCTATTGAGATTTCCATTGTATTTCTCAAAAAATATGAAAAGGAACGACAAAATACATGAGACTCAAGTTTAGGGAATCAAAGTTTCACTTAAAAGTATGGTAAAATACTGACAATTTGGTCTGGATGATGAATCTATGAAGCTCTATTACACTATTTTTTCTTTTTTGTTTTTGAGACGGAGTTTCGTTCATTACCCAGGCTGGAGTGCAATGGCGTGATCTCGGCTCACCGCAACCTCCGCCTCCTGGGTTCAGGCAATTCTCCTGCCTCAGCCTCCCGAGTAGCTGGGATTACAGGCATGCGCCACCATGCCCAGCTAATTTTTTGTATTTTTAGTAGAGACGGGGTTTCACCATGTTGACCGGGATGGTCTCAATCTCTTGATCTCGTGATCCACCCGCCTCGGCCTCCCAAAGTGCTGGGATTACAGGCGTGAGCCACCGCACCCGGCCCACACAATTTTTTCTTGTATGTATATCTAAACTTTTTCAAAATAAAAAGTGTTTTTTTTTTTTTTTTTTAAAAATTATTTAAAGAAGGACAAAAGGACTCAAAAGAAGACACCAATGTTTGAGAGGCTACCACCTATTAAGATCATATTTCTATATGCTGTTTCAGGAATACCAAAAAGTAAAGCAAAGAACAATTTTAGATAATTTACTAAAATGCAAAAAAAAAAAAAAAGGTCATTCGAAGAAAGGTTAGTGAGAATACTAATTTAATAATAAACGATATGACAAAAATAAAAACTACATTTGACAAATGAGAAAAAAAGATAATTTTGAACGAAAGCAGCATAAACTAGCAAAAACAAACAATCAGATGAACTACAAACGGTACCTCTGCAAGAAAGATAAAAGAGGAAAGCTAGAAAGCTAATAAGGAGAAAATAAAAGTAAATTGACAGAAGTGAAAGAAATGAAACAACAGCAGCAGGAAAAAAGAGAGAAGGAGGCAAGGGAGGGAAACCATGGTATTTGGATCCCGCAACATACGTAAGGGAACAGTAGACATCACCTACAGGTAGTTATGAACCACTTTATGGAGTCCACAGAAAGTGGGCTGCTGGAAGGCACCTGCTGCTTCCAGCCCTCTTCAGAGTTCTAGTCACTGTATTCTGATCCTTGATAAATGTTACACATGCAAACATATGCATGTACATTTTTAAAGTCAAATTTGAGAGAAAGTTAAGAGGTGATAGATAAAATTCTGAAATTTTTCACTTGGTCCAAAATGAAAGATGAGAGGAACCAGGCAAAGAAAGTAACAGCTGAAATAGCAGACATCTCCAGCTTACAAATATAACTTAATTTCAAGGTGCCCATGTGATAAATGATAAAGAGAGACAAGTGAAAAGTGAAGAAAAAAAATATGACTAAAAGAAAAAAGAAACGTTTCACTTAGTTAGAAGTCATTTTTAAAATATTCTCAACTATTTGTAACACAGCCAAGAACTCAGAAGAATACAAAAAAAAAAAACAAATCAAAAAAATCTAAATCTGAGTAGTAAAACTAAAGCCATAGGCAGAGAAAGACACCTATCCTCATTCTCTGCCTTCTACTGGTTTATATGATTCTAAGAAATTTGGCTCCTCAGAGTAGGGCAGAACCACCACATTACAAGGGAAACAGGAACAAAACAAATGACAAGGAGATCAAAAAACTATAAACAGCTGCTATGAGTACTTAACTCTCTGATCAGCAAAAAGCTAAATCCCATGACCTCCAGAGACATTAACATATAGCACAGTACAAAAAATTATGTTACATGTGCTTTAAGACAGAAATATAAATTTTTAAGCATCTATTATCTTTTTTAAACCATCTAAAAACTTAAGAATCCTGACCTACTAAAGACAGCAAAAATAATAATAATAATAATAATAATAATAATAATAAACTTGGCCAGGTGTAGCAGCTCATGCCTGTAATCCAAGCACTTTGGGAGGCCAAAGTAGGAGGATTTCTTGAGGCCTAGAGTCCAACACTACCTTGACCAACAATGTGAGAGTCCATCTCTTAAAAAAAAAAGTAAAATTGAAAGTTAAAAAGGAATAGGCTTGTTAGCTGGAAACTGCCAATGTGTAGAACAGTCCATGCCCTACCATTGTCAGATAAGAGCACTACTAGAACTACTAGAGTCCAGAGGCTAGATGACAAGGCAGTGTAAGCCATTCTGACTCCAACAAATAAATTTACAAGATTAACAATTATTAATAAAAGACTCTTAGAGCTGGGTACAGTGGCTCACGCCTGTAATCCCAGCACTTTGGGAGGCCAAAGTGGAAGGATCACTTGAGCCCAGGAGTATAAGATCAGTCTAGGCAACATAATGAGATGCCCATCTCTATAAAAACTTTAAAAAAAAATTAGCCAAGCACAGTGGTGCATGCCTGTAGTCCCAGCTACATAGGAGGCTAAGGTGGAAGGATGGCTTGGGCCTGGGTGACAGAGAAAGACCCTGTCTCAAAAAAATAAATGAAGGACTTTCAGGCAAGCTGCTAAAACATAAGTAATCAATTTCTGTTTCCCAGAGTATAAAGAATCTTTAGCACCAAGCTAATCTTTAGTATTATTTGGAATTTTCACCAACCACACACTAAGAATAGTCTTTGTCACTTGGGTAAAAGAAATTTAGATGAAATGAAGGTGGTGAATAAATCAATGAGGAAATGGAGACAGAGAGGCTAAATAACTTGCCCAAGCTCACACAACTAGTGAGTGGCAGAGCCAGATGTGAACCAATCAGAATTAGAGGAAAAACAACACAGCCAACAAAAGAAACCACAACTAGCTGGTAGATGACAAACTTGTGCTGACAGTTTAAGAGAGCAACTGGGAGATGACTCAAAATCCTTAAGAAGCTGTTTGGTTTACATACACTCAATTTTAACTTGTTCTCGTTTTTCCTGTTGTGCAAGGCGAGCTGCAACTTCTTCAGGTGGTCGCTCCCTTATAGAAGATGAAGATGCTTCTTCTTGCAGCAAAGTAAATAAGAGGAAATCAAATTTCAGAAAAACACCATCATTTGTACTGGCCAGTTATATCAATGCAGGGCATTTTTGTGGTAAGAATTCTAAAACCGTATTGCTACTCTTAATGATTCCAAAATGAAGAAACAGGAACCTGCTTTTAATCTCCTTGTCTAAAAAGATGTATTAGAACTTTTAAATTTTTAAAAATTTCCTAAGACAGTCTGAAGACCTGAACCTAGTGTAAATGTGTACATATGTCTAGGTGTTACCTAGGCATTAAGTACTTCTGATGAGCATATCATGCATAAAAGAGCAAATGTAAACAATTAAATTACCTGAAAGCGCAGGTGTGGATATTCCTTCACCAATTTCAGGGTGATCAGTTTTTAAAGATTCCTCATGCTGAACTGCAGGGGCTGGGACCGACAGTGTATCACCTGCTGCAGAAATAATTTGAGCTGCTTCTGTAGGTGCTATAAATATATGTTACTCATGGTATTTATACTCTCCAGGGTTAGCAGAGAAACACACAGTAATTTACCACCACCACCACCCACTTCACATCTGATTCCTTAAAGACACAAATATATTTGTACCGCCACATGTTTGAATAACACACAAACAGGGGCACTGACTACTGCATATATAAACTCACACAAAATGGACAATGGTTGGGAAAGAACAAAATTAAGAAGTCCTGTCTACATCCACCTGCATTTTAACCATCATTATTCCCAGGCAAGGCTTCTAGTAATATTAAATATTAACATACAAAAAGTGGACATTTAGATAACATAAAAAAAGAATAACAAAGGAAAAAGAGCCTGTTAATGAGGAAGACAGACAAAAGAAAGCAACTAAACAAAGAATATTTTGTAATTGCTTTGAAGAGTGGTAGAAGACATGTGAGCAGGAAAAAGATTACAGTTTTAAACACAAAGATGAAAGGTCAGAGTGAACAAGAACAGAACTCAGTTAAAAGACATACATATATTTTTTGCACTTTGGGAGGCCAAGGTGGAAAGACTGCTTAAGGCCAAGAACAACCTGACCAACACAGAAAGACCCCATCTCTATCAATCAAATCAATCAATCAGTCAATCAATACTGTGTGTGTGTGGTATGATACACATGTACATTTTTTTTTTCTTTTTATGAGACAAGGTCACACTCTGTTGCCCAGGTTGGAGTACAGTGGCATTATCATAGTTCACTGCAACCTCGACCTCCCAAGCACAAGCAATACTCCCACCTCAGCCTCTGGCATGTAGCTGGGACTACAAGTGTGCACTATCAAACCTGGCTAATTTTTAATTTTGTAGAGACAGGGTCTGCCTCTCTTGCACAGGCTGGTTTCAAACACCTAGGCTCAAGTGATCCTCCCTCATCGGCCTCTCAAAGTACAAGGATTACAGGTGTGAGCCACTGTGCTGGGCCTTAGTTTTAAGGTAAAAGTCAATTATCAGTCCCCGGGCTCAACATTCTCTTCCCATCCCACTCAGAATATAAAACAATTTTTTGTTTGTTTGTTTAAGGCAGTCTTGCCCTGTCACCCAGGCTGGAGTGCAGTGGTACAATCACAGCTCACTGCAGGTTCGACCTCCTGGGCTCAAGTGTTCCTCCCTCCCAAGTGCTGGGACTACAGGTATGCACCACCATGCCCAGCTGATTTTTAATTTTTTATAGAAACAGGATCTTTCTATGTTACCCAGGCTGCTTTCAAACTCCTGGGCTTAAGCAATCCTCCCGTCTTGGCTTCCCAGAGTTCTGGGATTACAGGCATGATCCCCTGGGACTGGCCTCAAACAAAATTCTTACAATGGCTTCCAAGGACTACTACAATAAGCTTTCTGCTCCCTCTCTTACCTCATTTGCTCCTGTTCTCCCCTTTATCAATTCATTCCAGCCTCATTTACCCTTTGCTTGAGTATGTTGAGCCTCTGCACCAGCTAACCTTGCTGCCTGGGATGCTTTTCCCCACCACCCTTTTACATGACTTACCCCCCTTATCTCTTTCTAACCTTTGCTCAGATAATCCCTTTCAGGTAAGGCATTCCTTACACACTCCATTTAAAACTGCAGTATTCCCTCCCACAATGTCTGACATCCTATACTTTTTACTTGCTTATTCCCTCTCCTCATCCAACCAAGAAATAACGGCTGAAAAAAATCTTTTTAAACTGTTTTGTTCATGGCTATTTCCCCAGTGCTTATAAGAATGCCTGGCACAGAAAAGACAGTAAATATCTGCTGAATTAAAGAAAGTCTGGTGACTTAACCAAGGACAGATATAACTAAGGAGAAACATAAGAAGTTCAAATGTATACTGAACAGATTAGAGTTCAACAGGCAAGTACTATAAATTAGGGTGGGGTGACTGGTAGTTTCTGAAGTCAAAAACTATCTGCAGGGACAAAAGCAAGACAGTTTCATCAGTAAGAAAGAGAGGATAAAGAAGTGAAGACATTTACCTATAATTTAAAAAGGATGGTTCTAAATATTTAAGTACCTGTTGCTGAAGCTGAAGCATCTCCCTTTTGTTTTTGGAGTTGTGAGGCAGGCTGTTTAGATTCTTTCATTACTTCTGATACACTAGAGATTTTTAGTGGACCAGATTGAATCTTGGAAATAAAAAACATTTAACATTTCAGTTATACTACTTTTTAAAAAGGTACAGTAATTTGCAGTATTTCAAATGTCAAGTCTTTCAGGCTTTTAACATAAAGTTATCAACACTTTACAACATATGTATTTTAATAAATATAGTTGAGAGAAACCACCAATAGTAAAAAAGTACAGTCCAAAGATTTCATTCCAAATGACCAGCCCATATTTTAGTAGTAACAAAGGCTTCTATTGGGGTGACCAATAAGGTCCATGCCATATGATCTTCTGATTAAGCATCATTCCTTGTACTTATACAGTATTAAGAAGACTATTATCATTTCCTTTCTAAATAAAATTATGATTTCTGTATACATTCAATTAGAATCAAATGATTATTAAAGGCTCTGAGTAAAAATACAAATGAATTCTTTGTTTCTTTGATCTCCAGGATTCCTGCAACTACACAATAAGATAAATGATCAACAAGTAATGCTTGCTTTCCTCTTTCCCAATTATTGCCTGCCCTAAGTTTAAGGCACTGTTCATTTAAGAGGGTTGCCAGATGATGTGCCAGAGAAAATTACTTTTATTTTTATTTCCACTTATGTTATTCCACTTTTTGCCCTAACTTGGCAGTAGGACTCAGATATCCCTAACATAACTACTTAAACATAACAGAGATGGTTCTGAATTTTGTCACTACCAGAAGCTAGAAGTATTCCCATTTTCATTAAAATATTATTTTTGAATGATGAATGTTTACTGTAACAAACAAAATAATACCAAGACACATCAGTGGCTGTAACTTGCCTCTTCACTGCTTCTTTCCCTTTCCACTCTCTCAGGTAGCCACTGCTAAAAGCCTGTAATCCATCCTTCTACTCCTGAGCAAAAGCTCAAATATATACATATAAACGATGTTTCACTTCCTTAAACCAAAACAGGACTATACAAATTACCTTGTAACTTGCTCTTTCTTTCATTTAATACTGTATCACAGACCTTCTCTTTCAGGTCAATAAATTCTTTGTAGTTGCATAATATCCTCATGCAACGATTTCCCATAATTTGGTCAACTTCTCCTCTATAGTCATTCAAGCTGTTTCCTGTTTTGTTTTGCTTTGTTGCTACAAACAAAGCAATGAACAACCATCCCTGTTCATTTAAATGAAAAGCACCATAGTGTGACATCTATGGGATAGTTTCCCAGAAGAGGAACTGCTAGATCAAAGGGTGTGTGTGTGTGTGTGTGTGTGTGTGTTGACACGGAGTCTTGCTGGAGTGCAGTAGCACAATCTCAGCTCACTGCAACCTCCACCTCTCGGGTTCAAGTGATTCTCCTGCTTCAGCCTCCGGAGTAGCTGGGATTACAGGCACCTGCCACCACTCCCAGCAATTTTTTGTATTTTTAGTAGAGATAGGGTTTTGCCATGTTGGTCAGGCTGGTCTCGAACTCCTGACCCACCTCGGCCTCCGAAAGTGCTGGGATTACAGGCGTGAGCCACTGCGCCTGGCTGGAGTTGTATATTCTTAACAGATGTTAACAAATCACTTTCACTTAAGGTTCTAGTGACTCACATTCTCATAATAAATGTGTGTCTGTGATCTATTTCCAAATTCAGTTGTTCTATTCCTCTAATTTTTTTTTCCTGTGTCCCAACTTTATTTTATTAAAGTAGCGGTATAAAAACGTCAGTATCTAGAAAAGTACCGTCCTCATCCCCTTTTCAAAATGTTCTTGAGTAGTCTTATACATCATTAATTTCTCCATATGAACATTAACAGTGCATTAACTGGTTCCTCATCATCTAGAAAAATTCACTCAAATTATTACTAAAGTTGTATGTATAGACACCATAAAAACATCATTCCTCTCAAATATATACATTTCTCTTATATATATGTATGTCATATATATTTGGTACTATCTTAATATATATTTGGTACTACCTTGGTATTATATTTAATGACATACATATATATTTGAGAGAAATGACATTTTTATGATATGAAGTTCTATCCAGGAATATAACATTTGGAATCATTTAGGCATTATTCCATGTCCAACAAAAAGATTTTATGCATGGACAGTAAATACAGAGACAATGTTATAACAAATCATGTTGCTGTTAAAAAGGTTACTATGGGGCAGGTACAGTGGCTCATGCCTGTAATCCCAGCACTTTGGGAGGCCAAGGCAGGTGAAACACGAAGTCAGGAGATCAAGCCCATACTGGCTAACACTGTGAAACCTGTCTCTACTAAAAATACAAAAAATCAGCCAGGTGAGAAGGCACATGCCTGTAGTCCCAGCTACCTGGGAGGCTGAGGCAGGAGAATCACTTGAACTTGGGAGGCGGAGGTTGCAGTGAGAGGAGATTGTGCCACTGCACTCAAGCCTGGGCAACAGAGCAAGACTGTGTCTCCAAAAAAAAAAAAAAGTTACTATGAAATAAAATGCATAAGCAACAAGTTGACACAATGTTTAACAGGAGAGAGTGCTTGAATAAATGGTAAAAAATAATAATAATAAAAACACTAACTGCTCTTGTAATTCAGAGGTGAGAAAATTAACTTAGGTCTGTGTAGTGAAGGATGATGCCCTCGCGGAGAACATTAATGGGCAAAGTAAAGGAAGTCATTCTGGGTAGGAAACCATCCTGAAAAAAGTTGTGCAAATGATTTCTCTCTTTAACCATGGCCCTTGGAACAGTGCCTGTAACATAATAATCACTTGATTAACACTGGTTGAATAAATGGAAAGCACAGACATATTTGTAATGAAGGGCAACTGGTGTAGAGCTAAGGGCTCATGTGCAAGACCCAAAGATAAGGCTGTAAAGGTAAACAAGTGCCAGATTGCCACCAAGGGTACTGAATATCAACTAAAAAGCTGGCAAAGACCACAAACTACAGAAATAAAGGTCCTCAGTGGCCAGTACCTAGGCCAACATTTAAGCACTCCTGGCTTCGTATTCCTTATTCAGAGCATGAGACAGTCTCTAAGATTTCTCTAGTTTTTACATCCTATAGTCTTCCGTCTTTTAAACAATAGGAAATATTTGGAAGTACACTAATAGGTGTTATCATGAAAATATCGTAGCACTTCTTTTAGAAGATTCTCTGGTATTGAAATGAGGATGACCCAGATTCTGTTAGGAGGCAGAGATCTAGTGGGATGGAGACTGGCAGGAAGATGGGAAAGACTGCATGGAGAGCAACAGGCCTAGTTCAGAAGATAATTTGAATATGAAGGGGTAGGGATAGTGGTAACACAAGAAGAAGATTAAATAAGGTAAGATAGCTAACAAAATATGAGTAACCTGTAATGAATCTAAGAATTCTGGCCTAGCTACACGGGACAGCTTGGTACTATCTTTAATACAAAACAGCAAATCAGGAGAAGTGTAAGTGTGGAGTTGGTGTAGTATAAATATTGAGTTATTAAGTGGAAATGTTCTGCAAAGTAGCTAAAGTGGAGTGAGGAGAGGCCAAGGCTATCTGGAGAAATAAAGGATTCAACTACAAAGAATGACATCTGAAGTCACGTCAACTGAGAAAAGAATGCTACTCTGAATTTTTCAACTGTACTCCATGCTCCTAGAACAGCTTCCAGCTATTTCTCCTGGGTCATGCAGCTTAAAATAGATCCAAGATTTTAGAATAAATCCACAGGAGTCTGCTCCTTGACTTATGAAGCTGCAATATTATCTCCCTCAGCCAGTATGGACATTTCAAAGTCCATACAGAAGAATAAATAATGTAGAAGACTAGTCAAAAACATTTTGAAAAAGTATGGTCGGGGTGGGTTATAGGGAAGAAGTTTGATGACATTTGTTTTTCCAAATGTTAATTTTGCTATAGGATTGGTCTCTACATCATGCTAGATACTGGACGGTAAATCCACCCAGTTTCTAACAATAAACTGATCAGCCATGTCCAGCCTCATAGCATAAAGAAATGTTCAATACCAAAGAGCCAAAAATCCATGTTTTTTCACAGAATTTTTTTTACAAGAAGCTGTATGTGAATGAAGAAAACATTTAAAATTAAAGTTTAAAAATATTTTTTTTTTTTTTTTTGAGACGGGGTTTCACTCTTGTTACCCAGGCTGGAGTGCAATGGCGTGAGCCACCGCACCCGGCTCTAAAAACATTTTTTAAGTCTGGTGAGAAAAAAAGTACACACAAAGTTACAGGAATAATTGAAGATATCCTGTCAACTAATCTGCATCTAGCTGAAAATTCTGTGACTCTGTATTACAGTCTAAAAGGAGCCATTACTAACCATAACATGTGGTTCTGGCCGGGCACAGTGGCTCATGCCTATAATCCCAACAATTTGGGAGGCTGAGGTGGGTGGATCACAAGGTCAAGAGATCGAGACCATCCTGGTCAACATGGTGAAACCCCATCTCTACTAAAAATACAAAAATTAGCTAGGCATGGTGGCGTATGCCTATAGTCCCAGCTACTCGGGAGGCTGAGGCAGGAGAACTGCTTGAACCTAGGAGGCGGCAGTTGCAGTGAGCCGAGATAACGCCATTGCACTCCAGCCTGGGTAACAACAGCAAAACTCCAGCTCAAAAAAAAAAAAAAAATGTGGTTCTATGTCATGACCATTCTGCACTTGTTTTTGTAGTGTTTTAAGAGCCTGATATCTGCAACCATACAGGACTACATATAGACGTCCCCCTCGGTCAACAGGGCAACCATGGTTACCTCTGCCCAATATATCCCCTCCGTTTACCTTTGTGTGCAGCACAATTATTTTCTATGTGGTATGTACTTATGGGACTCCAAAAGAATAAATATCCATCTGTAACAGTTACTATTAGTTCAATTTAAAGAAAACTGGCCAGGTGCGGTGGCTCACGCCTATAATCCCAACACTTTGGGAGGCCAAGGCAGGCAGATCACAAGGTCAGAAGTTCAGGACTAGCCTGGCCAACATGGTGAAACCCAATCTCTACTAAAAATAAAAAAAATTAGCTGGGTGATTCAGAAGAATCACTTGAACTCAGGAGGTGGAGGTTGCAGTGAGCGAGATTGCACTATTGCGCTCCAGCCTGGGCAACAGAGCAAGACTGTCTCAAGAAAAAATAAAAAAAAAAAAAAGAAAGAAAGAAAACTAACATACATCCAACTAGCAAGCTGCACTGAATACATACGAAACACCATTGACTCTCTGTATCTGTGGGTTCTACATCCATGGATTCAACCAACCACAGATCAAAAATATGTATATTTTTTAAACTGCACCTGAGCCCAGGCACAGTGGCTCACACCTGCAATCCCAGCACTCTGGGAGGCTGAGGCAGGTGGATTACCTGAGGTCAGGAGTTCAAGATAAGCCTGGCCAACATGATGAAACCCCATCTCTACTAAAAATATAAAAAAAAGATGGGTGTGGTGGCAAGTGCCTATAATCCCAGCTACTCGGGAGGCTGAGGCAGGAGAATCACTTGAACCCAGAAGGCGGAGGTTGAGGTGAGCTGAGATCACACCGCTGCACTCCAGTCTGGGCAACAAGAGCAAAACTTTGTATCAAAAAAAAAAAAAAAAAAGAAAACCTGCACCTGTATTGAACATGGACAGACTTTTTCTGGACAGCCTTCCCTAAATGACATAGTATAACTAAAATTTAGATAGCATTTACACTGTATTAGATATTACATCTAACCTAGAAATGATTTAAAGTAAATGGGAAGGTGTGCATAGATTATATGCAAGTGCTGTAACATTTTATATCTGAGACTTGAGCATCCATGGGATTTCAGTATCCATGGGAGATCCTGAACCACTCCTCCATGAATACCAAAAGACATCTGTATTTTCAACATGAAAACAACTTGCTTTTAAAGTATTTCATTGGATAAATTGAAATATTGTTTAAAACTCTTACCGATTTCTTTGGCAATGGAACATTATAAGCTGCAGAACCAAGAACCATCTCGAAGAGTTTGTCTGAGTAAGGTATGGTTTTCTCCACACTTTCCCGGAAATGGGAATCCCATTTGGCATATAGGATAGTGCCACCAATACCTCCGCCAACAAACAAAAGGCCAGCTCCAGCAATTTTGCCAGTAGTCAACCTAAGTGAAAGAAATAGGAAATACATTTATAGTTCTTGGCTCTCCTACATCTATTTTCCTACACCAATGTAAGCATCTCAAAGACCTCTCGCCTCTACTTATCTACTACTAATTCAGATCATAGCTGCCAAATTTACTACCACATCTGCACATCACCTTTTCCTGATTTGTTTCTAACTTGTTGCCACTAAAGATAACATTTATTCATTTTGGGAGGCCTAACAGAAGGGCTGCTTGAGCCCAGGAGTTCAAGACCACCCTGGGCACCATAGTAAGACCCCCATCTCCCACCCTCCCTTAAAAAAAAAAAAATTAGCCAAGGGTAGTCGCACATGCCCCCGCACTCAGAAGGCCAAGGTAAGAGGAATGCTCAAGCCCGGGAGATCAAGGTTGCAGTGAGCAGTGATTGTGCATGCCACTGCACTCCAGCCTGGGGCAACAGAACAAGACCTTGTCTCAAAAATCAATCAATCAATCAATCAATCAATCAATAGAATGTATGAATAACTATACATTTTTAAAAATACAATATCTAAGAATCTCCCTTTAATGTTTAACTCAACATGTTCACAATCATGAAATTCTCTCTGAACCCAAACAAGAACTGTCACTAACTTTCTTTTTTTTTTTTGAGACAGAGTTTCGCTCTTGTTACCCAGGCTGGAGTGCAATGGCGCGATCTCGGCTCACCGCAACCTCCGCCTCCTGGGTTCAGGCAATTCTCCTGCCTCAGCCTCCTGAGTAGCTGGGATTACAGGCACGTGCCACCATGCCCAGCTAATTTTTTTGCATTTTTAGTAGAGACGGGGTTTCACCATGTTGACCAGGATGGTCTCCATCTCTTGACCTCATGATCCACCCGCCTCGGCCTCCCAAAGTGCTGGGATTACAGGCGTGAGCCACCGCCCCCGGCCCTATCACTAACTTTCAAGGCTCCTCTTCCATAATCAAACATTTCTTTTTTTTTTGAGACGGAGTTTCGCTGTTGTTACCCAGACTGGAGTGCAATGGCACGATCTCGGCTCACCGCAACCTCCGCCTTCTGGGTTCAAGCAATTCTCCTGCCTCATCCTCACGAGTAGCTGGGACTACAGGTGCACACCACCATGCCCAGCTAATTTCTGTATTTTTAGTAGAGACGGGGTTTCACCTTGTTGACCAGGATGGTCTCGATCTCTTGACCTCGTGATCCACCCGCCTCAGCCTCCTAAAGTGCTGGAATTACAGGCGTTAGCCACCGGGCCCAGCCGTAATCAAACATTTCTATAAATAAAATAAACTCTTTACAAAATACCAGCCAGGTGTGGTGGTTCACACCTGTAATGCCAGCACTTTGGGAGGCCGAGCTACACTGGATAGCTTGTTACTGTCTTTAATACAAAACAGCAAATCAGGATCACCTGAGGTCAGGAGTTCGAGACCAATGTGGCCAACATGCTAAAACCCCCGTCTCTACTAAAAATACAAAAATTAGCTGGGCATGGTGGCGGGCACCTGTAGTCCCAGCTGCTGGGAAAGCTGAGGCAGAAAAATCGCTTGAACCCAAGAGGTTGAGGTTGCAGTGAGCCAACGTGGCACCACTGCACTCCAGCGTGGGCAATAATAGAGTGAGACTTCATCTTAAAAAAATACATAAAACAAAATAATGCCAAATAGAACTAACAAATACTTGTTTAAGTTACACTATGCTGAGTTCTGGATATAAATCTATTTGCTAGAGAATGGAAGATTGCACATGCAAGGAAGGCTCTGCCTTGGATACCATCCAATTACTGAAGAGCCAAATGGTGCATTATTAACAAATTTTTACCTACAAACAGACAATGCTCCAGAAGGTACCCCGACAATGTTACAACAAAGCTTCAGTGTATGTGCCCCTTTAAAAAAAGAGGTTTAAGCAGCTATTCCCATATTCGAGGAAAACACACACGTACCCACTTAGCAGCACAGAGTGAAAAGCCTGGTTACAGGGAGACATACTACATACCCAGAGCTGCCTGAAGTAGAGTATCTGTGGCATGGTCGCAGTGGACGGAGGACAAACTTCCCACAGAGACAACTCTAAAGAAGGAAAACATCACAACCAAAACAGTTAAAGGAAACTGGTAAGCTTCCTTAGGGTTGGTAATACAGAAATAATACTTTTATTAAAAATGTCTTCATTAAACCAAAAATTACTTTATTTCAGAAGTCAATTTATGATGAACCATATTTATAGATTCCTAAAAGCAGTGATGCTTCTTACAACTCAAGGCTCACATAAAATTACTTTTAATATTTTTAAAAAATTATCAGACTATGATCAATTAGCACCTTTAAGTGTTATATACGCTAAGTATGTCTTGAATACAATTGGGATTTGCCACATGTTTTCTTAATTGGCCAAAAAAAATCTATTTTTACTTTATAAGCTTAGTTTAGACATCTGAAAAATCACCCACAAAGTTAAGCTAAAAGCATGGCATTATTGGATACACAGTCAAGGAAGAAATCTGACCTCAGCTAACTTATCTAGAAAATCAGTTTTCTCATCTCTAAGCGAATTACTTAGCTGGTCAACTCCTAGAAGCATTCATTTAAAAGCTGATTTTTGGTTTATCTTAGCATATTGTTAGTCTAAAAGCCAACCATGTTAAGAAAAACATTTTAATTAATGTTGTAAATGCTCAGGCACACCTGTCCCCATAAAACTAATCTACCCTTACATATAAACAAATGATCAGGGCTATATGCTTTGTGATTGGTTTTAATAAAACACACCTAAATATTTCTTAACAACATGTGGATCCCCTAAATTAAGCAAATGAACAAGCATCTAAATACTATTGGGGAAGGTTGTCATAAACTTAAAACCATTTATATCTATCAATTTGAAACTTTACACTTATCAAATCCATAAAAATATCTTCTTTTAAAATATCCAAGTAGAAAAATCAAACTGCAACAAGGGGGAAAGTGCTTTCTCTAGGTTCTTTAATGAAATTGTATTTAAGGAATATCAGAATAACACAAACTTCATTTTAAAAGTATCTATAGTTTTGGCCAGGCGTGGTGGCTCACACCTACAATCCCAGCACTTTGGGAGGCTGAGGCTGGCGGATCATAAGGTCAGGAATTCAAGACCAGCCTGGCCAACATGATGAAACCCCACCTCTACTAAAAATACAAAAATTAGCTGGGCATGGTGGAGGGCACCTGTAATCCCAGCTACTCAGGAGGCTGAGGCAGGAGAATCGCTTGAACCCAGGAGGCAGAGGTCGCAGTGAGCTGAGACCATGCCACTGCATTCCAGTCTGGGTGACTCGTCTCAAAAAAAAAAGTAAAAACTTTTCTTAAAAAAAGGTTTTAAGAAAACAGATCACATAGTCATAGGACACATGAAATTACTCTAGAGTTGCAGTTATAACTTACACTCTACTGGTCAAAACTTAGAGGTAAACATCTAACTAAGGTAGTAATACATTTTGAAAACAAAAAACAAACTAGATGTTTTAAAACATGTAAAGCAGATACAATTGCTATTAAAAAGTATTTCAGTTATTGGCGCAGTGGCGCATGCCTGTAATTCCAGCATTTTGGAAGGCTGGTAGTGGGGAGGGTGACCGCTTAAGCCCAGGAGGTCAAAACCAGCCTGGGCAGCATGGTTAGGCAACTATTCCCATATTCGAGGAAAACACACACATCTCTACTAACAATACAAAAATTAGACGGGTTTGGTGGCATATGCCTGTAGTCCCAGCTACTTGGGAGGCTGAGGCACGATAATCACTTAAGTCCAGGAGGTGGAGGTTGCAGTGAGCCAAGATTGCACCACTGCACTCCAGCCTTGGCAATAGAATAAGACCCTGTCCCCACCCCCACAAAACAAAAACAAACCTTAAAAAAACCCAGTATTTCAATTATTACCTACCCTGTAGAAATCCCAACATTTTTTAACCATTTTTAATAGAAAGGGGTGTTTTCCTTCTATTCTGTAAAGCAGGGTATTAAATTGTAAACAAAAATGCATCTATTTTTATAAGGCAACAACTCCACTTTTGTGACTCAGGGAGAAAATATTAAGAGAACACTGAAGTTGTGTTTTATTTAAGGTTGCATTTTTTTATCTGTCTAGGTACAAATACGTATTCAGGTCAAAAGTTAAGGCACTGCTAACAGTGGATAATTGGCTAACTGGAGTATCAAGCAGCAAGCATAATGAATAACTGACTCCAGGCAATCAGGGACAAATTCAACACTAGAGTTTGAGACTACCCAAATTCATATCCGTTTTTCTTTTTCTTTTTTTTTTTTGAGACAGAGTCTCATTCTGTCACCCAGGCTGGAGTGCAATGGCACGATCGCTGCTCACTGCAACCTCTGCCCCCCAGGTTCAAGCAATTCTCTTGCCTCAGCCTCCTGAGTAGCTGGGATTACAGGCACATGCCACCACACCCAGCTAATTTTTGTATTTTTAGTAAAGACGGGGTTTCAACATCTTGACCAGGCTGGTCTTGAACTCCTGACCTCGTGAACCACCTGCCTCGGCCTCCCAAAGTGCTGGGATTATAGGCGTGAGCCACCACCCCGACCATAGTTTCTCTTTAAATAACATTTTTTTTGTTTATAGAGACTCAGCCTTGCTATGTTGACCAGGCTGCTCTTAAACTCCTGGTCTAAACCTATCCTGCTGTCTTGACCTCCCAAAGTGTTGGAATTATGGGCATAAGTAACTATGTCCAACATCAGTATTTTTAAATGTTTCTTTATCTACCTTCCGCTTTTGTTTGATTTCCATTCTCCCTTTGACAGAATGTATTCTAAATATAAGTTAAAACTTCCTAACATTAAACAAATTTAAAGTCTGAGGTTTTAAATAATTTAAAAGGTTTAAACATGCATAGAGTGAAATCTCCTTCATACTTCTTTCCCCAGCCACCTTATTCTTTTCACAGGCAACTGACACTGTCAGTTTCTTATTTATCCAGAGACATTCTATGTGTATTTATTCAAATGTGCATATTCTCCTGACTTTCCCCACCTTTACACAAATGATACCATAATATATATGCAGTTCTCTACTAAAGTTTATTCAAGGATATATACTTTAAATCACTGTATATCAGTATATGAAAAGCTTCTCAAGGGATCCTACACTGATTTGGTATTCCATTGTTACTTAATGTTTGTTAACCAGCCCCTATTGATGGACACCGAGGTTTTTCTAAATTTTTGTTATAATAAATAACGCTACCTGAGTAACACTGTATACATAATTTTGGGTCTATTCTTAAAAGTAAAATTTGCCATGTTGATTAATACTGCCAAATTAGCCAAACCGCCCTCTAGTAATATCGAAGTATGTTTTCCCATATCTTTTCCAACATACTGTATTGTATCAAGATTTTATTTTTTTTTAACCACTGACAATCTGAGGGATGAAAATATAAAATAGGGTGTTTCAAGCATATAAATAATTTTTTTTTAAGAGACTTGGTCTCCCTCTGTTACCAAGGTTGGAATGCAGTGGCATGATCATAGCTCACTGTAACCTCAAACTGCTGGGCTCAAGTGGTCCTCCAGCCTCAGACCCCTGAGTAGCTGGGACTACAGGCAGATGCCCACCATACTCAGCTAATTTTTTTGTTCTTGTTTTTTATAGAGCAAGGTCTGCTATGTTACCCAGGCTGGTTCTGAACTTCTGGCCTCAAGCAATCCTCCTGCCTTGGCCTCTCAAAGCACTGGGTAATTTTTACTTAATTTATATATGAATACATGTTACTTTATTATTAAGACAATAAATAATTATAATTATGCTGCTATTTAATACCACTAAGTTTAGGGTAGTCTGTTACACAGCTAGATACCCAAATAGATGTTTGTACCTAGAAGAGGGGTTCCACCACAAAACAAAACATAAACACGAGGCCATGACTTTGGGACTGGTGTTAGGGATGGCAGAAGCTGGAAGAGCCTTGAAGAAATTGTTAGCAGCAGCCTAATGGCCTTCACAGAGCCTGTGGGTGAGGGCTTAAAGAAAAGCAAAAAAAAAAAAAAAAAGTTTTTGGAATCTGGAGGAGAAGATGTTCTTGTTATGTAGTGAGAGTTGTTTATCAAAATTGTCACCTGTAATGACAGACATGGAATACAGAAAATTAAGCATAGCGAGGGCTGGGCGTGGTGGCTCAAGCCTGTAATCCCAGCACTTTGGGAGGCCGAGGCGGGTGGATCACGAGGTGAAGAGATCGAGACCATCCTGGCCAACAAGGTGAAACCCCGTCTCTACTAAAAATACAAATATTAGCCAGGCATGGTGGTGCGCGCCTGTAGTCCCAGCTACTCGGGAGGCTGAGGCAGGAGAATTGCTTGAACCCAGAAGGCGGAGGTTGCGGTGAGCCGAGATCGTGCCATTGCACTCCAGTCTGGGTAACAACAGCGAAACTCCGTCTCAAAAAAAAAAGAAAATTAAGCATAGCTATAGCTATACCTAATGAACTGATGTACTTGACTAAAGAGTTCCAAGTGGAGTGTTCAAAAGTGCTAACTGCTTTCTTTTAGCTGAGTATAAGGACAGAGATGAGCTTTAAGAAACAAAACAAAACTCTGTTTAGCTTTCAAGCAAAATTAAAGGAAATATAAAAGAGCCAGGATTTGGTGGGTTCAAAAATAAAACTGTTTCTCGTTTTCAAGTAGATTCTCATATAGAGAAGGGCTTCAAGCCAAAGATTAACTGCAGTGTGTGACCAAAAGATTCATTGAGATTTCAGAAAGATCCAAGGAGGTGCCCCTCAAAGAGTTCTTTTACCTTGAGAAAAGGCCCTCTAAGAATCTTAAGGATGTGTTTCCCAGATTCTGTTAGAACAATAAGGCTATTCAGAACATTAAGGATATTATCCCACAGCAGCTTCATAGGAAGCCCAAAACGGAGAAGGGCTCATCCTGATGAGATGTGGGGGTATGGCTTGTCTAATGAAGAAAACTGCATTCAGATTCACAGGAAACCCAAAGAGTAGTTGAGAATTTTATTAATAAAAAACATGCTGGCTTATATGTAAAGTGAAAAAAAAGGACAAAATGAAAAG